AATGAACTAGCTAACTATGGGGTACCTGTTCTTTAGAAATACAGCTTGAAATGTTTTCTTGCATAGAATTTACTACAGTTAGCCCTTCCTGAAACACAGAATATCTCCCAGATGATTTAAATTTGTGGTGCTCTTGTCCACACCAGCCATGTGGTCTTTCACTGTGTACATATGGAATATCTCCTGGGCATCCAGACACACTCAAAAAAATGGCCATGTTGCTGCCATCCCACAGCCAATCACTCACGGTGGGTTTTCAGAGAATTCGAGGGCATCTGAGAGGTTGAAGGTCCACCTTCTCTTTTTACCAGATGAGGGAACCCAGACCGTGGAAACATTGATTTTCTCAAGGTCACAGAACCAGTTTTTTAATCTTGAGACACTGTTATCTCCACAATTGACCATGACTTTCCCTATAGTTAAATCCAGAATGTGCACAGGTTGTAAGAACTACTTTGTGAAACTGCTTGAGTAGAAACACAATGTCCACATTATAGGACTAAATATAAGTGAATTCTTAATTTTTCCCTATTTTATTCTCTGCTCTGCTGATGCAGACAAGAGTTCACTGGGTAGCATAGCACACTTTGTTAAGCATGAGAAAGAATCTAGGAATTGTCAATAAAATTGAACCAATACCTTAATTACATGTCTGCACCCAAGAAAATACTGATAGCATCATTTTTAATGAAACCAAACATTTATTTTAAACTATTACGAAATTACCATTCAAATAAATTTTTAATCTTATTTTTTAATATACCAAATTCATCTCTGACCTTGTTCCATTGTATATAAGGAGACTTTGCTGTAACGAGTGTCTGTCATCCACAAAAAAAGGGGGGCAACAGTGAAAGGAAGTTGTCTCATTTTCAGACAGGCCTTGTTTTTCTTGGATGCTTTTGCTTAAAATCCAATAGCCAAATGAGGAAACTGTGAAAACAAAACAAATACTTTTATTACAGATGAACCCTTATAGTCTTAAAATTTGGACACATACTGATTCTGACTTGAACTCTGGAAACTGACATGTTGACGAAAATGTCTTCTCACAGACGTCTTAAGAGGGTCTTTCACAAAATCTGAATTGGAAGAACTCTTAGATCTCATTTCTTACAGCTCCTTACATGCATCATTGATAAATAGTGATCTGGCTTTTGTTTGCCCCCAGTGACAGAGGACGCACTTCACCCAATGGGTGAATTCACCGCACTATGAATTACTTCGTAGTAATTTTGCAGACAAGTTGTTAGCAGTTTATACAGCATCGCCCACTGGATATAGGTAAATTCTTTGGAGAAGCATAGGAACCAATACTTGTCCTTTTCTCCATGACAATCTTTCAAGTGTTTGAAGATTGTTCTTAGGTCTCCTTTGGGTCTTCTCTTCTGCAAGCTGAGCATATCCTAAGTTCTGGGGTGGTGCCACGTCACACCCTGCCCTAAATCACTGCGTGTCCGGTAGCATGGACCACAGAATTGTAGAAGTGGGAATCAGAGTGGCTAACATTTATGGGGTGTTTTTTGAGGATCAGTGTGCTATCATTTCACACCCATTATGTCCTTTAAACCCTTACAACGACCTGGTGAGATATTACTCTTCCTGTCTCCACAGAGATGGGAACAATGAGGCTCTGAGAGATCACAGAACAAGGGGTGGTAGAACCCAGATCCGTCTGACTCCGGAATGTGGAATTTGGTCTCATTTTACAAATGAAGAAACTGAGCCCCAGAGAAGTAAAGAGACGTGCCTGAAGGCACTACTAGACTGCCAGTGGGTGAACTAGGACTCGAATTCAGATCCGCCTTCCAGAACAAGGCTCTTTTCAGGGGCCTCTCCAAGAGGGGAGGAGTCCATTGGCAGGCTCCTAATCTGTCTTCCTGCTTTGCTTTAGAAACCCGCTGTCCTCCTTTTTGTTGAACAAGCGTTTGTTGGATCCTTACTGTGTGTCTACAGTGTGTATCTTAAATCAGAAGCAGGGGTAATACCAGTGTGATGAGGCTAGGTTTTGAGAATTTTGCCTAACACAGCAGGAGGGACTCAACGGATTCTGAGGTATTTATATGCTAAAACAGTGGTGGTGGTTATGTTTCTTGGCAATAAAATCATTTTTAAAATAAACTGCAAATACTTGTTCAGAAGCCAATGGATGATCTTCAGCATATGGCACTCATTTCAGAATCCATCCTACGAGCTTAGTCTTGCTCCACTCAACTCTAAAACTATCCTGTCGTTTCCCCCACTTAAACTTTTGGGAGCTTCCAATTGCCTGGAGGATGAGTCAAGTGGCTCTCTCCTACCTTTCATCTTTCCCTTCACCAACCATCTGAGCCAGGTTGCCTCCTGCTTCTCCAGTTCTTGCTCACAACCTTCCCCTTGCTTGGAATGTCTTTCACTTCCTGCCACTTAACCAAATCCAACACAGCTCCAAGTTTCATGTTTCCTGACCTCCCCAAACTCTACCTTCTCTCATTTGTCCAGCAGCTACTGCCAGGATGACTCACTCAGTGCTTACCAGATAGAGCTGTGCATATAGAAAGATCCAGTCCTTCTACATGGTGAAAGTCCTAGTTTCTCTGAACCCCCACACAGTACCCAGGACAGGGGCTTGTCTGCGATAGACTCGCAAAAAAAGCTATTTTCTTCAGAAAGGTTAACTGTGGAATTAGTTTTAATAAGTGGATGTCAATGAGTTCTTGTGCTTTGGAAAGCATGAAATAAAATCCATGGGTTATTAAATTGAAATAAAAAATTGAAGGAAGGAATTTATGAAAAATTGTGTCAGGAACTGAATTTTTGTAAAACAGTATCTGAGGTAGGATCATTGTAATCTATAGGAAGACAGAGGATTAGAAGATGCAGTTCCTTGAGATCGAGAGCTGCATTACATTTAGATTTGTCTCTCCAGCTCTTCACACAAGAGTTCTGTCATATATTAGGGAATACATTAAATGGAATTAATTAGTGAATGAATGATTAATTAGTAATAGAGCCACCCAAGGATGACATGGGTACCTTTGGGGAGTGGTGAATGCCCCATCCCAAGAACTGTCAGACATGGTTTGGGCAACCAGTGAAGGAATGTCCTTTCCAACCCCCAGGTGTCTGGTTCTCTGAAGTGCGTTAGGACATTCGATGATGATTAAAATGTCTTTTCAGATGGTTTAAAAAAAATTACCCCTGGATTTATCAGCTTTGGAAGTTTGAACTCTTGCCACTTTAATGGATATTTGGCTTTTCAAATGAAAGCAGTGTTCTACTGCTGAATAAATGTTCTGCTCAGCTGTAAAAGGATAAATCAGAATAGTGGGGGGAGTAGTAACTATCCTCCAGGAGCAGCTGTGTCTTTCAAGCCAAAGAGATACCAGTTCAAATTCCTCCTTTTCCATTTACTAGCTTTATCATTTTGGACAAGTTACTCCTCTTCTTCTTCTCCTTCTCCTTCTTCTTCCTCTTCCTCTTCTTCCTCCTCATTTATTTTAGAAAGAGAAAGAGTGTGGTGGGGAGGGGCAGAGGGAGAGAGAGAGAGAGTCTTACGCAGACTCTGTGCTGAACCCGGAGCCGAACATGTGGCTCGATCTCACAACCCCAAGATCATGCCCTGAGCTGAAACCAAGAGTCGGATGCTTCACTGACTGTGCCATCCAGGCGCCCCATTCTTCATCTTTAAGACAGGGATGCTTACTCTTGAGCAGGCTTGTTGTAAGGATAAAATCAGATAATGCTGAAAAGCATCTAGCACAAAATCGGAAACCATCGGCTTACGATAAATGATAACTATTAAGCTTACGCATTCCTTCATGGTTGGCTAAACCCCCAGTAATAAGCTTTCCTGTTCACGTGGTGCTTTGCATTTTACAGTTTATAGAATGTAGTTACAGCCATTATTACCTCGTTTGGTCTTCAAAACAACCCAGTGAGGTAGAACAAAGATTACCATTCTTATTTTACCAGTAAGAGAGGTCAAGGAACTTGCCTCCATGAGACCTTGCAGAATGGCAACTGGAATTCAGGTCTTCTCATTCCAGGTCTGTACCCGTGGTTTCACTTCACCTGCTGCTGCAGTGCCCAGTGTTGGGGATGGGGGTGTTCCTCAAATTTCCTTCATTCATTCAGCAAGTATTTATTGCAACTCAAATAACTGAGCTGGATATTGGTCCCATTTGTGGCATCCCTCATTAATAGCAGAATGCTTGGCATATAGGGCTTGCTCAATAAATACTTGTGGAATGAATGGATGAATTAAACCAGCTTCCTGAGTCCTTTCACTAGATTACCCTGCTACCACCAAAGGGGCAAGAACACTCGGCAGGGACTGAGAGAGACTGGCTGTAGGGAGAAGCTGGTACTAGATGAGACCGTTTATAAGCAACAGCATGGATGACTCTCAGAATAATTATGCTGAGTAAAAGAAGCCAGAAAAAGAATGTACTGTATGATTCATTTATATAAAATTACAGAAAATGTAAACCGATCTATTGGACAGAAGGCAGTTCAGTGGTTGCCTGGGGATGGAACGCGGTGGCCTAGGGAGGGAATAGTTTCAAAGAGGCACAAGGAAACATGGTGGCAATGGATATGTTCATTATCTTGACTGTAGTGATGGTTTCATAGGCATATAAATATGTTGAAATGCATCAAATTGTATATTTGAAATATACAATTTAAATATACCTCCGTAAAGCTCTTTGACAAGGAAAAGGAAGAAGAAGCAGCGGAGTTAAGAGAAGAGATAAAGAAGGAGGCAAAGGAGAAGAAGAGGCAGGTTCTCTCTACAAACACTAATGCCAAGGCCCATAATGAGGCTGGTTCTCTGTCCCTTTAGTGATCAGTATCTAGGCATGCCAGGTGGAGAAAGGATTGGCTTGGGACTCGGGAGGTACAGTTCCTGGTCTTACCTCTGCTGCTCACAAAGGTATGATGCTGGGCATTAGCCTGGCCTCCGTCAGCCTCCACTTCCCATTTATAATTTTGCAATGTTTGCCCAGCCAACCTCAGCATCACATGGGATTTACCTAAGGTGGCACATCAGACTGCATGGTGGACTATGAGTGCTGGCCAAAGGGAGGAGTGCAGTGGGGTAACAGGGAATGAGCCCTGAGCCTCTTTCTAGACTAGTCATGACAACAAACACTACACGGAACACAGAGACCCTCAGCAGTAGCCGCATTGTTCGAGTTCTCTGTCCTTTAGCTAAATGATCCCAGACTCCAACAGTACACGTGGTCCTGTGTCCGCTAGCTACCGCTTATCAAGAGTTGTGTTCTAGATCCAGCTCTGCTGCACACTCACTGTGAGAACCCAGATGGTCACAGCTCCACTCAGTGTGTCTATCAAATGAGACTGGACCTGCTGGCTCGTGCACCGCAGGATTCAATCACCTTTACGTCAAACCCTTTGCCCACGTTGATGACCCCAGATAAGGGAAGTGTGGCCAGCAGCCGTTCTCACATCTCTGACCCTCAGTGACTTTGAGGCGTCAGGGGAATGGTAACCTTTACCACTTCCCTCCCCAGCTTTTACCAGCGCACACACACACAATTTTGTTTTTAGTCTCTTCTCACAAACACCAAGTCAACATACATACAGATATAACAGATATCGTTCTAAGTTCATTCACTCAAGATCTATGACCTTAGGTTAAAAATCTTACCTCCCAGAAAGCTTGGTCATCAAAATATTTAGCTGCATGAGGTCCCTTGCATATTGTGAGGTTTAAGACCAAACCTGTTAAAATTCATAATTATGTGTTAAACCTTTAGAGCACAGCATTTGTTATCTCTAAATTAATCAAAATATCATAGGCCAGCTATGGTTATCTCAACAAAGTCCCTTTTTCTTCTACAGCCAGGAGACAGACAAATTGAAGTGCTGGCCTTCCTGGACCAGCTTTATTAACTCTATAGACATCTTTTAAAAGAAACTGGCAAGAGCAATTATCTCCAAAGGATTTAGATGATACTGAGAGGTGTACAGTAGCCACCTATCTGACATGCTTCCCAAGGTGGAATAGAAGAGCCCTGTCAGACGGTGCTCCTACTTAAAAGCTGATCTATTTGGAACACGAGAGCTACCATGGACAGCAACTCCAATTAGGTGCTCCTGTCAGTCCGGCGTGACTCACTGGCTTCAATAAACTCTGTGACCCTCAGCTCAGGACTCCACTTGTGTAGTTAGGAAAGTAGTTTATACTAACTTGCTTTTGCGCTATTCTTCTTTTCACCCATCCAGCTTCTGCCCAGAGAGCTTGGCCCTGTGTATTCCTCCAGCTATGCAAAGCGAACCGAATTTCTCAGGATACGTGAAGGGATTGCTCACCTTTCATACGAACCACGGATATGCCACTGATAGATTTATCTGTGTATTTTTTTTATCTGTGTATATCTGTGATCGGTCCCAATGTATTAAGTAGTAAAATTAACAAGAGTAGGCGTGTACTTATTCACATTTTCCTTTTGTAATGCACACCTTTAACTGATATTGACATGTAGGGTGTAACCAGCACACCTCATTTAGCTGGAATTATTCAGAAATGATCTCTAACACCTACATGAACTTTCCACATAGCTGAGGCTTACTCACCACTGACAAAAATCCACCCAAAATATATTATATTTTCTTGTCTTATGAGACAACACTAAACACATTTAGATTTTTTTTTTTTTAAGATTTTATTTATTTGACAGAGAGAGACACAGCGAGAGAGGGAACACAAACAGGGGGAGTGGGAGAGGGAGAAGCAGGCCTCCTGCTGAGCGGGGAGCCCGATGCGGGGCTCGATCCCAGGACCCCGGGATCATGACCTGAGCCGAAGGCAGACGCTTAACGACTGAGCCACCCAGGTGCCCCCAGATTTTTTTTTTTTTTAATCGGAACCATTGCTAGGAACATCCATTTATGAAATGTGCTATCTAATGCAGAGGAAGTATGTAGCTGTTGAGGGTTGTTGGATTCTCTTAGCAGCCCAAGTTTCATGTTCTAGTGTCTAGCTTTAAGAATTTCTTTTCTTCCGTTAGGCTGTCTTTTTTCACCTCTCACTTCTACCAGTGTGCCTTACCTCTAGAAACCTGTCCCATTTCTAACCTCCATTTCTGATCTGCCGGAACTGGGAAACTCAATAACCATGCTTGATGGGATTGTTTCTTACATAAGTGTAGACAGGCCCAAATCAGGGGCGGGGCTCTTGGCAAGCAAAATGCTCAGCTTTAGGGGGTCAATTTGGTGCTATCTTGGTTGCTTGGTGGCCTCTTTCCCCCTTCCATTGTTCATGTTCTTTTTATTTACCAGTGTTCTTATGTTCAAAGCCACATGTAAAGAGGAATACTCGCTGGTCTTAACTCTTAAAGGAACAATATTCTATTCTCTTTCTTGACTCCAGGCAAGCATTAAAAAAGCCCTCCCAGGGGCTTTACAAGATGGTGCAAATCAGTGTCACTTTGTGAATACTAGTGACAATGGTGAATGGTGTCACAGTCCGGGGGGAGGGTTGCCAGATAAAATACAGGATGCTCAGTTAATGCTGAACTTAAAAAATGGGCACCTTGGGTTTTCACTTGCTAAATCTGGTAACCCTACTCAGGATTAGACTGCCACCATGAATAGAATGTAAACTTACGGAGGGAGGTATTTGTCTTATCTGGTGCTTAATCAATCACCTCAACTCTGCTGAAAGCTGAGGCCAGTGAGTATATTAGAGTAATTCTAGTCAGTCTCACTCTCTAAAATCACCTAGGCAATTCCAAAAAGTATCTTTCTACGTTTTGGAGCAGAAAAGAAGCCAAATGATTAGTTACCACTGTCCTTTCATTTTACAGAGAAGGTACCCAAGGCCCAGAGAGAGTAAACTGATGTGCCCAACACCATACAACTCCTTTATGTCTGCTTATGCTATTTGGTCTCTTATTTGGCATTCATTCCCTGCTTAGGGACACAGTATATGAATGTCTAACCAATAAAGCTGTTTGCTTGTAGAATAAAGGTGAGCAGTTCTGGACAGAAATCCATACTTTCACCTAGCATATAAATAAGACTGGCAGATTAGCAACTCCCTAAGGGTCTTGCTGTTCTGTCATATTGCAGGAGCAAAAGCATACTTCAGTCCTCTGTTTAAAGATTTCCAATGGCTTCCCATCTCTCAGAATGATCTGGCTCCTTGTTACCACTCTGTTCTCAACCCCTGCCACTCTCCCTTTCACTCTGTCCATGTCAGCCACACTGAGCATGCTTTGGTCCCGCCTCGGGGCCTTTGCACTTGCTATCTCTTTTCGTGGAATGCTCTTCTGCCAAATAAACGCATGGCATGTCTCCTTCCCTCTTTCCTTTCAGGTTTCTGCTTAAAGGTCAACTTATTAGATAGGCCTTCCCTTCCCACCATTCTAAAAGAGCACCCCATCCTCACCCCGACTCTGTATTCCTCTACCGAGTTATTTCTCTTCATAGCACTTACCATCTCTGACATAGTAAATACTCCACTTATCTGTTTATTTATTATCCCCTCCCCCCTCACTAGAATATCAGCTCCATGAGATCAGGGAACGTGTTTTGTTCACTCTTGTGTCCCTAGTGCCTAAGAATAGTGCCCTGGGGCGCCTGGGTGGCTCAGTTGGTTAAGTGACTGCTTTCGGCTCAGGTCATGATCCTGGAGTCCCGGGATCGAGTCCCCCATCGGGCTCCCTGCTCAGCGGGGAGCCTGCTTCTCCCTCTGACCCTCCCCCCTCGTATGTACTCTCTCTCATTCTCGCTCTCTCAAATAAATAAATAAAATCTTAAAAAAAAAAAAAAAGGAATAGTGCCCTGGCTCATAGTAGATATTGAATAAATACTTGCTGAACAAAATAATAGTATGGGTATTCTCAGGGAGTGAAGGTAAACTTTTTGGCATATGGGTTTCCTTGGCTTGCTGTACAAAATTGGGTGAAATCACCAGCCCTGAGCTCAGGAGACTGTAATGTCGCCACTTGCTGCTACTTGTAACCTCCAGAAAGTCTCTTACTTTGTCTGGCCCTCAGAGTCCACACCTCTGACAGGTGACCTCTGAGGGCCCTTCTAATTCTGAAATCATGTGATTCTGTTTTTGTTGTTAATCAAGGTCTGAGCCCCTTTGCATCATTTAGCTTGAGCTGTGGGGGTTCACAGAGAAGGGGATGGGCACAGATACATGTGGCCGTGGGCCAGATGCCCTCTGGCCTCAGGACCTGTGCCCTGGGCCATGGGGGAAGGAGGGTCATCTCACACTTACCTGTCAAAACACCAGCTATCAGACCTGAAGCCAGGGCCAAGCTGAGTGTCCCAGTGCCAATGAACAACTGGTAGCTGATCCTAGAAATGACAAAGCGGGGTATAGTCACATTCAACCATCAGAGTGCAGAGGTCATTGGGGTCAAGAAGGACTGTTTGCAACTCCTGTGATGCTGTCAGGAAGGGCTATCAGAAGAATAATTCCTCTCCCCAGGTAACCCATTCCCCTGCCGTGTTCCTGCAAAGCCACACAGACATGGAGGAGGGAAAGGGGGGATTCCAAGATCCTCTTTGGCTGCCTTCAATTCTCGGAAACCATGGATGATGAATTTGACCAGGAGGCAGAAAACCCAGGTTCAAGTCCAAGGACTGTAACTAGCTGCATGATCCTGGGCAAGTCACTTAACCTCTCTGAGCCCCAAGTTCCCTCATGAGGCAATTAATGATGAAAGTTCTGTTTCCATCAGGGCAAGGTGGAGTAGAGCTTGGCTGTCAGGCTCATCTCCCCGGCCCACCCCTGTTGAACATACTTCCCTGTCCTCTCTCTTTCTAGGCGACCCCAGGACCTCACTCTAAACTATGAAGTAGCCTGGGAGGACATCTACATGACCTTGCAGTAGGCAAAGATTTCGTTTTTTTTTTCTTTTTTTAAAGATTTTATTTATTTATTTATTTAAGAGAGAGAGAAAGCAAGAGACAGAGCGAGCATGATCGGGGTGGTGGGGGGCTCAATCCCAGGACCCTGAGATCATGACCTGAGCTGAAGGCAGACGCTTTAACCGACTGAGCCACCCAGGCACCCCTAGGCAAAGATTTCTTAAATAGGACTCACAAACGTGAAGGGAACAGTGATGAATTGAACTGTGTTAAAATTAAGAACTTCTGTCCGTCAAAAGATACCATTAAGGTGAAAGATAACCCACAAAATGGGAGAAGATATTTATGATACATTTATATAACAAAGACTCTATATCCAGAATTCCTACAAATCTATAAGAAAAAGGCAGAACAATACAACAGAAAGATGGGCAAAAGAACTTGGACAGATATTTCAAAAGAGAAGATGTTCAAATGTCCAGAGAGCCAATGAAAAGTGCTGCACTTAATTGGTCATCAGGGAAATTAAAATTAAATTGATGTTTGATGCTTAAGTGGATAAACTTAAAGAGAAGGAAAATATGGGGTGTTGGAGAATATATGGGGTAAAGGGAACTCTTGGGTGCCATGGGTGATTAGACTGGCACAGTGGAAAACTGGTAATGTCCTCTCAAATGGATCATATGAATGCCATGATCCAACAGCTCTGCTTCTAGGCATTTACTCAACAGAAGAGCATTTGTATGTACTAAAAAAAAAGTGCTAGAATGTTCATAGCAGCCATACTAGAATGTTCATAACAGCTCCAAACCAGAAAGAACCCAAATGTTCATCAGTGATGGAGAAATTGTTTTGTATTCACAGAATGGAACACTTATTTTAACTGTTTCTTAGATTCTGTATTTGTCTACATGGCACTCATTTATCACAGGGCCCAACTAATGGCCGAAATTGTTTACCGCTCTCTCTCCAGCAAGTCAGCTTTCATGGGAGTGCAAAATTCATATTATAAACCCCCTGACCACAAACTCTAACACATGCTTTCAGTTCCTGCCCAAGAGGGGACTCCCGCCCCTCCCCCCCACTACCCCACTGCCATCAACCTGAAGGCATATAGTCTCAGTTCCCCTCTCTCTCTGCTGCCTGGTCCCTGGGTGTAATAAGGTTTTGTGGGGCCCTACATGGTGTATTGAGCCTCTCATTTCTAGGACAACTGTAACATTAAACTTTTCCTTCAATGACATTGACCTCTCCATGTCATCACTCAAGTCACCTTTATGAAGTAAACCCCAGCACAATTCTATACTCTACCCCAATGAAAATGAACAATCTACAGAGATACTCAACAATGTGGGAGAGTCTCACAACTACAATGTAAAGTCAAAGCCAGGCACACAAGAGCACAGACTTCCTGTAGGATTCCACGTACATGAAGGACAAAGGCAGGCAAAACTGACTGATGGTGTTAGAAGTCAGGGTCACGGTTGCCCTGGGATGGGACAAGAAGGAGTTCTGGGTGCTGATTACATGGGCGTGTCAGAAAATTCATCAAGTGGTGCTCTGAGGATATTTGCCCTTCTCTGGATGTAGATTATACTACAAAAACGTTTTGTTTTTATTTTTTATTTTTTTATATTTTAGGATTTTATTTATTATTTATTTGAGAGAGAGAGAGAGAGAGAGAGAGCATGAGGGGGGTAGGGTCAGAAGGGAGAAGCAGACTCCCTGCTGAACAGGGAGCCCGATGCGGGACTTGATCCTGGGACTCCAGGATCATGACCTGAGCTGAAGGCAGTTGCTTAACCAACTGAGCCACCCAGGCGCCCAAAAACGTTTTGTTTTTAAAAATAAGATTAAGTGGTAGCATAGAAGCTAAATCTAAATCTGCTAACCCCCCAGTTCACTCTCTCCTGATGCCATCTGAAAGCAGCAATGGATGACACAGAGCTAGCCATAATGACAGTCCCCACGCAGGGTGGGCTCCCCTGCACCACACCCTCTGCTCCCCATGTTTACCATCTGGTTTCATATGATGCTGGAGCAGCCCTCTGAGTGAGCTGTCAGCATCCCTGTTCCACAAATGGGAAGATCCAGGTTAGGAAAGTGAACCAGAGTCTCCAATGTCACATGGCTTGGCATGGGTGGCTCTTGGGATTCAAACCCCATCTACCCACGAAGGCCAGACAGATCTTTCCCAAATTTCGGCATCTGTGAGTTACCTTCACAAATTTAGCCATATTGACATTCCAAGGATACTATTTTTTTAAATATTTTTCTTTAAATGGACTTTTTTTTTTTACATTTAAATAAATGTATTTAAAAGGAAACTTTGAGTCACCAGTGTAAATGGTAGAGAAATGGGAGGTCACTGTAAAAAGATACAGTGCAAACAAAGTGTTGCTAAAATCTCCCCCAGATGCAGCCTGAGCACGTGTCTCAGCCAGAGGCTGCCTCGCTGGCCTTCCAACCTGACGTCAGCTTGCCTCAGAAGCACAGAGGCACTTAGCACATGAGTGCAGGTTTTCTCCCTGATGCAATCCAAGGACTGAATAATTGAAAAACAGCATCTGCCCTGCATGATTCAATGTTATTTAAGTGTGTCTCTACACCACTTAAATCCCACAGTTTGTGAAACCCTGCCCCATCCCAGCGGCAAGCACGTGACCCGTTCACATTTGCTCCCATGAATAGGAGCTCGGCAAACACTGTGGAATGAATGAAAAGCCAACCGTGTTGCCCAATGACACGAAGCTAATAAACAGTTGCTCCACGTGTCACGTTAAGTGTTCTGACTCCCAGCTAGTCCTTTGTCCCTCTTTCTATACACAGAGGTGTTTCTCCTGTAGAAGCAGCAGTAGCAAGAATCATCATGAAGACAAGAGGGTGTTCCCTCCATGCTGAATCTTCACAGCAGCCCTGGGACGCAGATCTTATTATCCCATCATGCAGATCAAAGCTGAGACTTGAAGAGAGTTTGAGTATACTGTGCCTAAGATCACACGGCTGGTAAATGGAACCCTCCCTGAAGCCTGTGCCCTTGACTTCCAGCTGACCAGAGGCCTCCCTAAGAGAGGTCATTGCTGTCGCTATGTCCTTCCCTTTGCCGGGTTCCTGCAGAGGAGAGAGGACAACTCCTTGGTACTCTACTGTCCCATCCTGGTGAGACCTGACTCGCAGAGGTGTGCAAGAGCCCGCTCCCAGGGGCGGGTTGACCGACCCCTGTTCTCAACCGTTCCCAACCCCCAGTTCAGTGATAGCCCCTCCATGGTTACAGATGAGAGTATCTGCCCCTCTGCAATCAGGGCTTTGTTTTCCTGGAGAGCAGGTTGTTAGTCCTTTAGTAGCACACCATTGGTTGGCTGACCTTTGTTTTTTGTTGTTTGTTTTGTTGTTGTTTGTTTGTTGTTGTTTGCTCTAGGCTCGTAGTCTCAAACTAGCTTGCAGGAGAATCCCCTAGAGGGCTGGTTGACCCACAGATTGCTGGGGCCCCATCACTAGATTTCTAACAGTGCAGGTCTGGGTTAGGGTAGGATTTGCATTTCTAGCAAGTTCCCGGTGATGCTAGTGCTGTTGAGAACCACTGCGCTAGGAGAGCTACAGAAGCACAGAATTAAGGAGCTAGAAGGGTAGGTGGTTCAGAAATCACAGGCTGGCCACCCAGGAACAGAATTTGGCCCACACAATGTTTCTAATGACTCTGAATCTTTTGCCAATGCTTGGGAGCGCAGGTGCGTAACTCTGGATTTCTGGTTTCTCTTAAAAAGTCATGAGACCTGGGGCGCCTGGGTGGCTCAGTTGGTTAAGCGACTGCCTTCGGCTCAGGTCATGATCCTGGAGTCCCGGGATCGAGTCCCGCATCGGGCTCCCTGCTCGGCAGGGAGTCTGCTTCTCCCTCTGACCCTCCTCCCTCTCATGCTCTCTCTATCTCATTCTCTCTCTCTCAAATAAATAATAAATAAAATCTTAAAAAAAAAAAAAGTCATTAGACCTGGGGACACTGAGCCTGGGTCCCGGCACCGTCATGGTTGCCTGGTGCTGAATTCAGAGCAATTGCCCACGATTTCCCAGCCTCCTCTCGCTGCTCTCTTTTTGTAACCTTACCTGCCTGGCCCCTACAGTCACCTGAGCTTTACAGAGAGGGACTCAGGGGCTCAGAGAGAGGCTGAGTTGCACAACTGTTAAAACAGTGGCAGACACATCATTGGAGCCCATCCCTATGGTGTCTTGCTTCACGCAGACCATCTCCTCCCCACCCGGAGGTGGGATTCCCCCTTACCCCAAGCAGTTTAAGGAGGGCTGTCTCACATGCTGTATGTGATTCCTATAATGTGGGGCTGTGGCCATCTCTGTTGTTCGAGCTAGAAGGGACCCAGCCCTCCGTGGTTTCTCTGAGCTGCCTCCAGATGCGATGAGCTCCTCATCACCTTCACTTCAGGCGCTCATCAGCTGTACAGCTGCACTCCAGCCGAGTGACTTAGGGCAGATAACTCCCCATATGTGTCGTATCTTAGTGTATGATAATAATACATCTCGGGTCGGGGTGCGAGGATTAAATGAGATGACGCATGTGATGCTTTTAGCAGAGGCCTATTGGCACCTAGAGAGCAGTCCATAAGCAGTGGTGGTTGTCACCAGGACTATTATTATTGTTATCACTGTATCAGTTCATCTGGAAAAATCTATCCCTGTATCATGCCCAAGTCACTCTTTCATTTTATGTGAGCCACGCCCAGAAGATACTCACACAACCTCTGGGAGGTGATGGCCAGGTCTCGGGTATGTCAAATCGGCCACTGGCGTCCATTGTCCGGAGAACATAGGCTCTGACCCTAGTCCCAAGGCCCACGTTCCTGCCTCACAGCAAGACCTTGGCCAAGCTCCTTCTCTCTCTGGGGCCTCAGGGATGGGCTGTGCTTAGCATATTCCTACATTAAAGTATTAAATCCTTTTAACCACAAGGTGTCTGGCCGCAAGCACCTGGCCTCCAAGCACCCTATGAGGAGAGGCTCTGTCATTATCTGCGTTTACACCAGGCAATGAGGCTGAGAGAGACTAGGTAGCACACCCAGCTAGTAAGAGGTCAAGATGAGTCTGACTCCATGACACACTCTTCACCATGACCTAAACCACCAGGGGTTAAACAATGGACTCAGCGGGCTTGGGCCCAATTGACCTGCTCTGTCTACATTTTGGGGGCAGGACTCACAACTGTCTGCCTTTGCCCAGCATCTAAGCTGTCCTTTTTGGAAAGAAGACATGGCCTGGAGAGGTAGAGGTTAGGCAGAATGTATTAATAAATCTGCCAGCAAATATTTGTTAAGGTCTGCGGAGTGCCTGGCTCTGAATGCATACACCTCAGCTGAGGGCTTTGGGCATGTTTCTTCCTGAGTTGGACGGGGTGCGAAGGGGATAAGCCAAGTCACTTACATGGACTGCTTGGTCCAGGTGACCTCATAGATTATCAGCAGAATGTAGGCGATTCCCCCGAGCAGACCTGGCAAGCCAAAGGAGTAGTGCACGCCGCAGGTGTCGTGGATCCCCAGCACACGGTTAAAGTATTCCTGGAACGAACGTCAGATAAGCAGATGTACATGAAAGACTGATATCCCCTATCCAGGCTTTCCACAGATCCTTGGCATCCAGGGCCACCCACAGGGGGTAGGCTTTGGGGCTCACCTCCACAAGGGCTCCTCAGACCTGAATGCGTACTTGCATCACGTGGGGGGCTTGCGAAGCTGCAGAGTCAGATTAGTGGGCCTAGGGCCTGGGATTCTGCACTTCTCACAAAGTTCCAGGTAATGTCAATGCTACTGGCCCCCTGACCACCCTTCCAGAAGCAAGGGCCTAGCCCAGGCCCTACTCACACATTGGGCTGATACTTCTGTATTGTGCAAAGGCCCTAGGATGTTAGCAGCATCCCTGGGCTCCACCCTTGAGATGCCATGAGCAACCCTCGCACCGTGTGTTAACCAAAAAAATGTCTCCAGGTAGAGTCAAAAAGTCCCCAGAGGGTGATTGAGACCCGCTGGTCTAGCCCAAATGTAATTGCTATCCCAAAGACAACATGACTAATGAGAAGAAAAGAATCTGACCGCCCGCCCCCCCTCCGGACTCTCCTTCAGCACCCCTTCCCCTCCACCACTTAGCCTCCCAGGGGACCATGAGCCAACAAATGTGGATACAAATGCAAATAGGACAGGTGAGTTTCCCCCTTGGGATCCCCCACTGTCTTCAGAATAAAAACCCAGACTCCTCAAGCTGCCCAGGAGCCACACCTGAGTATCTCCCATCTCTCAAGACTGTGGTCCCACCACACTCCCAGGTGAACCCAGGGCTTCAGCGTCTATTTCCTGGCTGGGCCATCTGCTCTTCTCACCACTGAGCCTTTGAACACACTGTTCCTTCTGTCTGGAATACATTTCCCTTTACTTTGCCTGGCTAATATTAGTCATCTGTCAACACTCGGCTGAGACACCCTCTGCTCCAGGAAGCATTTTCTGATCCAACTGAGGCTGGTTTAGATGTGCTGTGCTATGTTCATTTGTCCATTGCCCTCACTACACTATAGCTCAGGGAGCAGGACACATGTTAAAACATATGTGCTGAATGAATGAAGGGACGGATGAATGAGTGAATCATCTCTGAATCGTTCCCCCACTGATGGAGTCAAGGAAACAAGCACAGAGAGTGGACGCCCAGCCTGATGAGAATTTACGCAGGTTTCCCTGCGCACTTCGGCCTTTCATCATAGGGCCTCAAAGCACAGGAGATAAAAGACATTCATTGCAATTCCAAAGATGAAAAGCAGGCTATCCCATCGCTGGTCAGACGAGACTGTTGGTACATCTTCCCCTATTCTGGAGTGAAACTGCCTCCCTGAATATCCATTTTTCATCCAAATTCAGCTTCTTGAGCCACCCAAAAGTCTACTCCTTTCTCCTCTACCAAGGCTTCAAACCCACAAAGAGTTGCTGCTCTGAAATTATTTCTCTTAGAAGTGTATTATAACAAATTGGCTATCATGGGGTATGCTGGTATTATCAGCACCTGCTGGATGTTGAAGGAAGAAAAGCCCATCCACTTAGAAGAACTAAACAATCAGAAGTAGACATGGCCTGGGTTAGCCCAGCATCCCTCTTCCGGCTGCTGCCCCCCCACCCCATTCACATGGCTCACGGGCAGCAGCTGTGTACGTATATTATGCTCGGGTCCCCCACATTCCCAGCCAAAGATAAGCACACTGTCCAAACTAAGCCCATGAGTCCCTTCTCCAGAACACTTGGGAATGGGGCCGAGAAATTCCACCCAGCTGCTTTCCTGAAGAGCAAGACTACATTCCACCATGTGGAGCAGGAGAAGGAGAAGGGGAAGGAAGTCTACAGAGTGAGAATAAAGCAGATACTCATGAAAAGCAAAGAAAGAAGAAGAGCGGATACTTCTTGGGTTCCTCACAACATTCCTGTCCCTGGTGTCAGCCAATCCTGGGTTCCCAGCAGCATCCCTGTCCTTGGGTTCTGTGACACCCCAGTAGCCTTACAATACTCCCCCCTGTGCCTGAGCAAACATGAATGGGTTCTGTTACTTGCTCCCCCAGATCCTAACAAATACACAGTACAACCTGGGTGGGTCGCTCACCCAAGCTCTGAAGCCTGCCTGAGAAGGTGCCAACGTCTGCCTCGTGCAGCCCATGACACCACACGACGGCCCACCATGCTCCCAGGGCCCTGCTGGTCTAAGCCAAATCAGGTGGTAGCAGCCCAGCTCCTTACCGGCAGGCACAGGGCTCCCCCGATGGAGATCAGTCCAGCCATAAAGCCCAGCAGCATGGCGAGCCAAGGAGAAGTGATCAGATGACACGAAGGGCCCACAGCCACACCTCCAGCCAGTACCGCATTGTGGATATGAGTCTGCAAAGAAAGTGCTTGTGGACGAATGAAGTGAGGTACAAAGAGGACAGCATCTTGCCCAGAGTTACTTGGTAAGCTGGTAGCAAGCAACACTGTCATGTCTTCCCTGCTTCACTGGCCCTGAAACCATCCCCTCCTCTCTGCTGAGACTACAGGACCTTCATCAATGGTTTTATCTTACTCCACTTCTCAGGCTCAGTGAGCAGTCACCCTGACTGGGAGGCAATGAACTTGAAAGTGTATCCTAGCCACCCTCACACCTATGAGCGATGTGTCCTTGGGCACTGAGCCATTCATGCTTCAACTTTTGCACCAGAAGAACGGGGTTTTGATTGTACCTACTTAATACGGTTATTGTTAAGACTGAACGAGTTACCACATGGAAGACTCTGAGCCAAGGGCTCAAGAAATATAAGCCATTATTATTGTTTTTACTATTTTTATCATTATTATTGGCTATTTGGTGTTTACACCACCCTGTACTACTGGATCCAGCTTTAACCAGCTATCTCTCGTTCCTGGGTCACATCTCCGCTATGTCCTTTGATCCCCTAGACCTGGGGCCTTGCTTCGCTTTCATGCTACTTCCCTCTGCCCTCCCAACTCTAACCAGGTCTTGGAGCTCTGGGGCCTGGGACCAGCTTCTGGGCTTCCCTGACCTTCTGGCCACACCTGCCTCCCTAGATGTCCCTACCTTGTCTGATCCTAGACTCCCTGTCACCATGGAGCTCCCCCAGAAAGACACTCACTCCCCTTAGTGCTTAACCTGTCCTGCATGGCCACATTCTGTCCACTCTAGGCCCTGCTGTCTCTCTAGACTTTTTCCCACCACCTCTGGCTGGCTGGCCTCATACCTGATCGTCATGGAAACTTGTTTCATCTTTAGCTCTACCCTTTCACCCGTCTCTCTCTCCACCCCCAAAACTCACACACAGTCTCCTGGCTACATTGGTAACATGGCTACTGTTTGCCCAGCACTATTTCCCCCATAGAGCACTTTATGTGCATCGCCTCTTCATTTCCACCTTACATATGAGCCAGTTGTGGCTCCAGAGGTGTAAGTGGCTTGATCAGGGTCACACGGCTAGGGTAATAACATCCTTCTTTACCTCCAATTCCATTCATCCCATTCTTGAAATTTCTTAGGGGAAGGGGAGAGCCCGGCTGATTCTATTCTAGCTCTTCTCTGCTGACTCTTGCTCATGGTGGCTGGCTTTAGTAACTAGCAGAAACAGGGTTCACACCCACCCGTCTGTTTGGTGTCAACACTGATAGACTTAATCATTCCCCTCAGAGAGCCTTTGATCATTTCATAGTCTCCAAATTCCACCTCCATTTTGATAAGCCAGTGCCCTTCCCCTTGCTCCAGGACACTGCAGACAAGTCTCTGTCACCCGGAATACTTTTTCCCACCCTGTGGGGCTGGTTCTGGAACAGGGGGCATGAATATGTGTCCAGCCTAGAAGACCTGAGTGCTGCCCAAGGGGCAACCCCCTCCTCACCATGTTGATCTTCCCTTGGGGGCGAGCCAAGGCCGACATTGAGATGGCTGTCACTGCGCTGGACGCGACAGCATAGTAGGTGTTGAACACGGCATTCCTCCTTTCCTTTGGAATATCCAGCAGAGCGGAGTTGAAACTCGGCCAGAATATCCACAAGAAGAGGGTTCCTGGGGGCCAGAGAGGGTCAGTGGCCAGAGCCAGCACTGCTACTCCAAAGCCTGAGCCTGCGGGGGCTTCCTGGAGCAGGCAAGTCTCAGCTTTGTCCCTTTTTAGTTATGTGACTTTTGGGGCAAGTCATGTCTCCTCTGAATTCTCAAGTTGATAGGGCCCAGCTAACATACTTCACGGGCAAAAAAACAAAGGCCCAGAGAGTTTAAATCACCAACCCCCAGGCCTCCTGAGCCCAGCTTGTGATGGCCAAATGCTTATTCTGAAAATGTAATGTGCCACTTTGATTTTGGCCTCGCGGCTGGCTGTTGGGTCACCTACCGCCTGGCTCACTGCCCAATTTCCTCTCGGCTTCTCCCACAGTCAGGCTTCTGCATTTCCGCTGGGCTTTGCCAGATACGCCAGTATTAGTAGTCTCTTCCCCACCCTCTCCCTCTCTCCACTGCTGGCCTCTCCCTTCTCCACTTGTCCAGTTCCCTCCCTTCGCTCGATGATAAAAGGATTAGGCAAACTGATCTAAACTCAAGGGTAACGCGTCTCCCCTCTCCTGTGGATATTAATGAAGAGCGTTGCCCTAAAAGGGATTGTGAATCCATCCAACACTAGTTGGGGAGCTGAGTCATCATGGAGGGGCTCTGAGCACCCTGGGCAGGTCGGTAAAGGAGGGAGATTTTCCCACAGAGCCATCAGAGAGCCTCTCGCTAACTCCAAGGGAGAGACCCCCCCTCCACACACACCCCACCTTGTCCTCACCCAGCATGGTAAACAAACTGGAGCTCTTTGTTGTCTGATTCTTCTCCTCCGTCACTCTCTCATTCAGAGACCTCGAGAGGAACCAGGCCACCATCAGCCCAAAATAGGTTGCAAACACGTGGATGTGCATCATGCTTACGTGGTTGTCCATCTGCAACAAAGCCAGCAGGGCGGCGAATGCCCACAGCCCCTGCCCACAGGCCAACCCCCGTTCCTGGGAGACAGTTCCGAACTTCACTCAAGTTCAGAAGGTGTGACTTGGAGTCATGACACTGGTGTTTGGAGCCTCCCCAACCCAGCAGTTCCCCTTTCAGAGAAGACCCAGGAGAGACCCAGGAGCAGCCATGGATTTATTCCAGGGAAGTTGCTGGTTTGGCCTTATCAGTAGCTCTTAAATGCTTTTGGCTGAGATCTACTTAGGTGAGGCAAAAAGTCACATGGACATGCACCCCCACTGCTTCCTACTTTTCAGCAGAATTTGTGGAGTGATGAGTGATATAAACTCTGCAGCAGGAAGCAGCCAGACTTTTTATAATATGAAGCTAAAGTCTTTAGTAAATTCTAGCCATATGCTAATTTTGCTTTATGAATATCAAAGTTAGTAATCTTTAATAACTCACTTGGTGGACTACTGGTAAGTCCTGTCAACTCTGCCTTCAAAAAATATCCAGAATTGGCAGAATTTTTACCACCAGGCTTCACTGACCCCACCTTGATTTAAGCCCCACCATCACCACCACCTCCAAATTATTGCAGTAACCTTCTAACTGGTCCCCCCCCCCATTTCCACCCTTGTCCCTCTACTGACTACCCTCCACACAGCCGCCAGAGTGACCCTACGAACATCTAAGTCAGTTCATGGCCATCTCTGCTCAGAATCTCCCAATGGTTCCTCTCTCGCTCAATTCAAAGTCCACGTTCTGGCTATGACCTGTAGAACCCTGTGTGACCTGCTCTCCCCTAACCTCCCTGACTTCATTTCCTGCTCCACTCCTGACACACTCTCCTCGCTCTTCCTCCAACCCACAGGCATGCTCCCACATCAGTCCCACTTCACTCTGGCTTTTCCAGTGCGTGGAATGCAAGGTGGAGGGAGTGGCCCACCCTGGGTGCAGGCAGTAAGGGGGTGCATTGGAGAATTTAAAACGATAATAAAAACTATTAGAAGTCTGTCTGCTTTTTATTATTACCCCGTGCCAACAATTCTAAACACTGTGGGTGATAAAATACTCCTGGAAGAGGCAGACCACTACCCCCCACCCCCGCCCTTGACCTGCCACTGTGCTCAGGCACCCACGTGGCTTGTGCACTCCCCGCCTTCATGTCTCTACTCAGAATTACTTGGGGAAGCCTTCCCTGGCCACCTTATTTAACATTTTATCCCCCTCTCGATTCTTCATATCTCCTTTCTCATTATATTTTCTATCTAACATGCCCTATCATTTGCCTACGTTGATTGCTATTGGCAGTCTTTCCTTCTGGAATGGAAGGTCCACCACAGTAGCATTTTCCCACTGCCGAAAAGATGCCTGGTACATAATAGGCACGGAATAAATATTTGTGAAAAGGAATGAGTGAATGGGAAGGATACATTCACACCTTTCAGGCATACATGAAAATGAAGTCGCCTGGAAGAACTGAAAAGAGGTCTTGCATTTTTAATGTCTGAGGTCTCCCAAGCATCCAGGAACCACACGTGGGGATGACTGGAGTGGAACCCTACACTCATTTCTGGAGTCGCCGCCACTGAAGCAGCTCTGGTTGCTGTCTCTGGTTTTCCCCGAGCCTTTCCATTCAATAAACCCAGGCTGAACTGACGTTTTTAGGTAAAGCAGCCAACTCTCAAAATCAGTGCTGAATCCTCCCCGGCACCAACTAAACTGGAGTCAAAGCCACAAAGAGAGGAGACCATATGGCCTTGCATCACTGCAGCCCTTTAAAAGTAGGAAAACAGGGCGCCTGGGTGGCTCAGTCCTTAAGCGTCTGCCTTCGGCTCAGGTCATGATCCCAGGGTCCTGGGATCGAGCCCTGCATCGGGCTCCCTGCTCGGCAGGAGGCCTGCTTCTCCCTCTCCCGCTCCCCCTGCTTGTGTTCCTGCTCTCGCTGTGTCTCTCTCTGTCAAAAAAATAAATAAAATCTTAAAAAAAAAAAAAAAAGTAGGAAAACATTTACCACGCCCGGCCCGCAGGGAGCTTTCCAGCTCTAGGAATTCACCTCTTTTTCTGGACTGGCCACGTGTTCACTGCGTGACCCGCCCTCCACGCTGGCTGCAGCTGATTGGGCCAAAGCAGACACGTGGCTGCGTGAGCCAATCAGGTTCTTTCTTACTGGACCCTAGAACTGGGACCAGCTCAGAGAGGAGGGCAGGATCCTGCAGGATCTGGGACTTAGAAGCCCGGAAACGAAAGGGGTGGAGAGAACATGTTCTCCACTGAGGAGAATGCTGATGTGCACAGAGAGGAACAGAACCAAAAGATGGAGAGCATGAACTACCTAGGATCTTAAAGGCTTCTCATATACAATTCCAGTCCTGAGTCTGACTGCTACTCCTGCCCTTGGTGGTCCCCTCTTTCTGCCTAAAAAAAGTTCCAGTGCAGTTTTCTTCCTTGAAACCAAGGAGTTGCAGTTAGTTCTTATGGTAAGCAGAGAGGGAAAAAAATGAAAGTATGTCTGGGTGACTCCGTGAGCCCATAGTTAAATGAATGAATGAATGAATGAATGAATGCCTGAATGGAGGAGAAAAGAAAATTCTTTCTTACAGCGGACTGCGTTATAACTAATGGTTGTGGAAGGGAAGATGGAATTAGAAAACCAATACTGGGGGCGCCTGGTTGGCTCAGTCCTTAGAGCATGTGACTGTTGATCTGGTGGTTGTAGGTTTGAGCCCTATTTTGGGTGTAGAGACTAATTAAAAACATCTTTTTTAAAAAAGATTTTATTTGTTTGAGAGAGAGAGAGACAGAGCACAAGCAGGGGGAGGGGCAGAGGGAGAAACTGACTCCCTACTTAGTGGGAGCCCAATGCAGGGCTTGATCCCAGGACCCTGAGATCATGATTGAGCCAAAGTCAGATGCTTAACCAACTGAGCCACCCAGGCGCCCCCAAAATAAAATCTTTAAGAAAAAAAAAAAGAAAGAAAACCAATATTGGTAGTCATCAGAGTGCTAATTGATTCAGGCAAAAAAAAAAAAAATCAGCAGTTGCTAAAGACAGTGGGTGAGGGGCGCCTGGGTGGATCAGTCGTTAAGTGTCTGCCTTTGGCTCAGGTCATGGTCCCAGGGTCCTGGGATCAAGCCCCACATCGGGCTCCCTGCTCCACGGGAAGCCTGCTTCTCCCTCTCCCACTCCCCCTGCTTGTGTTCCCTCTCTCGCTGTGTCTCTCTCTGTCAAATAAATAAATAAAATATTAAAAAAAAAAAGACAGTGGGTGAAAGTTTGATAAGAAACAGGATTTTACAGAATATTATCTCCCCCACAAGATGCTTTTTGATTACAAAGGGGAAAATAGTAACTTTACAGTGGAAGAGCCTGGAAGACAAAATCTTAACAGGTGACCAGAGTTAACATCCTCAGTAATGGGACAAATTGACAGCATGTGTCTCTTGATATGATGCACTGAGAAGGGCACAACATCACTTCTGTGTAATTCCTGCCAAAAATGCATACCCTCCAACTAATCATGAGGAAACTGTAGACAAACCCACATTCTACAAAATTACTGGCTTGTAACCTCAAAACATGTCAAGTTCATGAAATATCAAGAAAAACTAAGAAACTGTTCCAGATTGAAAAAGTTTAAGGAGACATGAGAACTGAATGAAAGTGTGACCCTGGACCAAAAAGAAAGAAATATATATATATATATATTGCTGTAACAGGATATTATTGGGGAAATTTGAATTAGATAATAATATTATGTCAATGTTAATTTCTAAAATTTGTTAACTGAACAATGGTTATGTAAAAGAATGCCCTTGTTTATAGGAAATATATGCCGAAGTAGTTAGGGGTTAAAATAAAGTCATATAGAGGGGCGCCTGGGTGGCTCAGTCAGTTAAGCGACTGCCTTCGGCTCAGGTCATGATCCTGGAGTCCCGGGATCGAGTCCCGCATCGGGCTCCCTGCTCGGCAGGGAGTCTGCTTCTCCCTCTGACCCTCCCCCCTCTCATGTACTCTCTCTCATTCTCGCTCTCTCAAATAAATAAATAAAATCTTTAAAAAAAAAAAGTCATATAGAAAGATGAAGAGAACCAAAAATTAGTGAATAATAAGAACTTCAAATCTAAGCTTCTAGACCATTGTTCATTTTCCCTCCCAAATATCTCCAGCTCCCTTGAAGAACATGCTGGTGAACTCTACACTCCTTGCTGATTATCCACCTGCTTCTTGGTCTCTAAGGATTTCAGCACCTGCCTTACCATCTTTCTATCACTCCTCCAGGTCATCATCTTGATCCATCCAACTCTTTCTGTTCCTTGATGCTTTCTCTACTAATAACTTTCCTACATTACACTTCTGCCACCCATATCCCCTGTCAAACCTTAGACCTTGTCATCACCAGTGACTATGCCAGCTCCAGTTAAAACCATTAGGTTGCTATATTTAAACATTTAGCATAGATCACAATTTTGGAACCCCATTTGGGTCTGTCTTTATAATTTTTAAATCCCAGGAACTCCACCAAATGGAGGCACTGTCCACCCCCCTCCACCTCCACACCCCTCCTCCCCAAAGTCCCCTGCTCACAGCATCGTGACTCACACTGAGGTACTGCCTGTCAATCATCCTCATGGTGACAAAGACTGTCACCTCCACCAGTGCCATCGATGTCAGCTGCAACAGGTTGGCCTTCCCCAGCACAGCACCCGCTGAGATGAGCACAGACATAGCACTCATGGTGGCCAACTTAATACTGGGGGGGAGAGAGAGAGAGGGATGATTGAAAAGGATCCTCTCATTCGTTATTCACTCATTCACTCATTCAGCAAGCCTGGCGCTGTCCAAGAAATTAGGGACACAGTAGGAGAACAAGGAAACAAGATTCCACCCTCATGGGAACGGATGCTGCCCCATCTGCTGTCTCCGTGGGCTCCTTCCCCCATCAGGGTGGCATCAGGGTGAGAAATTGATCTGCACATACTCATGCCTACTGAGGCCATTCTGAATTTCTCGTAAGAATGTCATGGTGAGTTACAGAGGCTGATTGTTCCCTCAGGACCCCCTTCTAGGTCTGACAACTGAGGTTCTGCCCACGGCTTCTCTTCTGCCTGCATCTCACAAAGATGCTCAATAGAGGGCGCTCTTCACCTGCTGGCCTGCCTGCCATTCTGCAGCCCCCCCATGGTCTCCTTTGTAATGGAGACGGTTTAGAAGTAGGACAAGCCTGCTTCCAGTCCTAGCTTTTCCACTTGAGCAACTATTTAATCTCACTGGGCCTGTTTCTTGATCTGTAAAGTAAGAGTGATGATAATATTTATCTTGTGGTAGTGCTGTGGGGATTAGAAGGAATATCTGTGCCTGTGTGTCTAGCACAATGATTGGCACAAAGAACTAACTCAGGAGTAGAAGCCCGCATTATTAGCACTACTACTGATTCCTTCCGTCCCTTGAGAAATGAGCTAGCTCAGGATAGGCATTCAGGAGGAGAAAACAATTTGTTTTCGAGGCACTTATGATCCAGCTGGGGAGACGGGGCTGACATCATGAGTCAGTCTACTAAGACTATCCATGATATTACATGGCTAGAGGGGTTCACTGGAGGGAGAGAGCAGTGTGGACTGGACTCATCAGGGAGGGCTTCCTGGAGGAGGTGGCAATGAGCAGAATAATCCATGGTGGTTAAACCAACTCACTCACCCTCTCCAGGCACCTTGCTCTGAGACCACCTCCCCTCCCTGATGCTACAGCCACAACTACAAAATAACAATAATTTATTAAGCATTATGTATAATAGGCTTACAACGATTACATCACCTCATTTAAATTTTAATCTTCTCAGCGGCCCTCTAGAAATGTGGCTAGGGTACTGTTCGTTCAGTACCTCTAACGTTACAGAAAAGGACACTGAGACTAGCAGAGGTGACACTTTGGGCCATAAAGTTAGTTAATGACAGATGTGAGGTTCAAACCCAGTTGGCCTGGATCTAAAGCCTGTGCTCTGAAGTCTGGACACAGCCTCCCTGGCATTTGCTGCCAACGTAGTACCTTGCTTAAGGCTCAAGGACTTCAGAGGGCCCATCAGAAGAGGGCCAAGGGCCTGGGGAGGGAGTCTCACAGGGATCGGGAATTATTTAGAATAGGAGTTACTCAAAGTTAGGCCATGTTATGTCTTTTTGGTGAGTGTTCACTTAATTGGCAAGGGCCTAATTCAAGGGGATGTGTGCCAGTGGTGGGATGTCAGACCCCGGGGGGCCAGTTGGTGCGGGGGAGGTGTTGAGACAGTGAGGTGCAGTATTCAGGAGTGCAGTCTCCAGTCCAGCCAGCCTAGGTTGGAATCCTGGCTCAGCCCCTTCCTGGCTGTGTGACCTTGGGAAAAGTACCGAACCACTCTGTGCCTCAGGGTCCTCATCTGTAAGGTGGAGTCCAGGCCTGTGAAGCTGTCGTAAGGGTAAAGTGAGTTAATATGTGTCAAGCACAGTAAGAGGGTTGGTTATTGCTACTATCCTCCAGCGGAGCCCTCCTGAACCTCTCAAAATACAGCATTAAATATATCACAACTTTCAGGGTTGCTTTTATTTTTATTTTGGTTCCAAAAACCATTTAGTAAGTCTTTACTACAGGAGGAAAACAAAGGACAAAGCTGAGGCAGGACAGGCCCCTGCCCCGAAGGGACTGGTCATCGGTGACTCAAGGCAATTCAGTGCCAAGTCAGGCTGCAGAGTGTGGGTGAGGCCAAGGGAGAAGGGAGGACCCTGTCCTGGAGGCAGGCCTGGGCACCACCCCCTGAAGCAGCCAGGCCCTTGGAAAGGTCAGAATAGAGCTCATTATTCAAATCTGTGAAGCCAGTCCCAGCAGGGGTCACAGCTGGGAGGATCCAGGCTGTCAGAGGTGGGGCAGGGGAGTTCACTCAGGCTGCACATGGCCTCTTCTTGTCTTCCTAGATTGAGTCAAGAACAAGTTGGCCTCCTTGGGCGCGGTACCTTAGAAGGAACAGCCCAGAGATGATGCCTGGACACTAAGGGGCAGGAGGCTGAAGGCAAGGCAGCAGAAACGCCAGACCAGGGCCATCACTGTCAGAATTCTTCCAGAGAGTACCCTTTGCCTCTTCCCAGGTGTTTCTTGGGGGTGGGGGTGGGTGGGTATCAAATCCCCATGGGGATTAGCTCTAAAACTTGTTGGAAGAAAAAATGTGGAGGGTTTTTTTCAGGGCCAATAGGGAAGGAACTGACCGGGCTATGGTTCATGTCATAACCACCCTGGAGGGTGTGGGGAGGGTTGCAGATAGTAAAACGCTAAAACCAGTACCACCACTTAGCCCTGTGACTCTTGGCAAATGCCTTATGCTCTCTGAGCCTCTATTTCCTTGCCTGTACCCCAGTTAGACCCCTACTGGAAGGGTTAAACAAAATAATGTTTGTGTGCTGCCTGGTACCATGTCTGGCTTGTGGGGAGATGGTCAACAGCAGTGCCCAGAGATTGAGCAGGGTTTCATCAGAGGGGAGGATGGAGTGGCCTAGAGAGGTGACCTGTTCCCCAAGATGCCTAAGATGGGATTTACCATCATCTGGGCAGAACAGAGATTCAGAGTGGGATAAGAGCAAAAAACAACGTACAAGGTAAATTTTACCGAGTTTCTCCTGTCAAGTGCTAATGCCTTTTTTATTTATTTTTTTAATTTTTTGTCTTTTTTTTTTTTTTTTCCTAAGTAGGCTCCATGCCCACCATGCGGCTTGAACTCACGCCCTTGAGATCAAGGGTTGCATGCTCTACCAACTGAGCCAGCCAGGTGCCCCATGCTAATGCCTTTTTTTAAAAAAGTGTACAGCTTGACGGATATATATATCTATCCCCTTGTGTAACCATTACCTGGGATAACACAGAGAACATTTACTGTGTCTCATAAGGTTCTTTGTGCTCCTTCCTAATCAATAACCATCACCTTCCTCTTGTAAACATTATTCTGACTTCTAGCAACATGGGTAATTTTGCTAGATTTTAGAATTTCATATACATGCATCTAAATGGATCAAAGGTAATTTAAAGGCATGGCTATTTCTTGTTCACCGACATTTGAGGACTAAGAGTACTCCTTTGTTTTCAAGAGACTGTGACATTTCTATTTCTTTTCTGTAATCTCTATTAACTTTTCTTTGAACCCATATTGCTTGTGTAACTTCATAAAATCATACTCAATAATAAAGAAAGAACTTGGGGAGGGCTGTAGATCTGGGCTCAGGGTTGTCAGATAAAATATAGGAATCCTGATGCATTTTGAATTTTAGATAAACAGTAAATAATTTGTTAGCGGATATCCTCAACATTTCATGGCTTCAAGGGGACATCCCAGCTCGTCTAGAACCAGCCCTCTTGGGCCCCATACCCTCAAGGACCCAAAAAATGGTAACAGCTGTCGTCTGGTTACCTGGACAGTTTGATGACCACCTTCTTACGGAAGGACCATTCCAGGAAGCCATCCATCAGGACTGCCCACTGAACCCCCAGGGCCAGCAAAAAGAGGTTGAAGGCCACACTGCTCCAGCCATATCTCCGCAAAGATGAGTTGAGGAAGCCAAAGCCAAGGGCCGCCATGATGGTCACATCCTGGAGGACTGCCCAGGAGCAGATATGGAGAAGGAGCAAGAGAAGCAGACAAGATGGAAAGTTAGAAATTAGAATTTACAGAGCTTACAGAATTAGAATTTACATACATTCTGTATGAATTTATGGGATGGCAGCTGGAAGAGATCATTAAAGAGTGCTGGGGCAAGATAGTTTGCCTCTTTGAGCCTCAGTCTTGTCATCTGAATAATGCGGACAATACATACCAGGCAGGGTTGGGGTTAGGATTCGATGAGCTACTGCTGGTGAAGCACAAAGGCAGGGCTTGGCCCATAGTGAGTGCTCGGTAACTGTTATTATTAAACTTAATGATATGAACATGTGTAAAGCATCTGGACCAGTGCTTGGCACACAGTTGACATCCAGTAAAGGTAATTACTGTGGCTACTGAGGAACAGATTCAACCTGATCATGTGCATGAGAAAGTAAGAGTACAGACGCCAATGACTTGGCCCAGAAAAGAGGGGCCAAAGGAGGCTCAGAGATTCTGTTGGTAAGAACCAAATTATCTTTTCAGAAAGCAGATCTCTCCCTTTGTCACTTGCTGGGAGGGACCCAGTGGGCAGGCAGGAAGCACCAGGGCCATCTGAGTGACCCTCACCTTTTCCAGCCTCGGACCCTGTTCGGGGGCTGCTGCCCCAGGTGAGTGCGAGAGACTTGCCTGATGATGGCAGGGAGAGGTCCAGCAAAAGGAAAAGGGTGGACACTTTTATTTAATTCCAAGTTTGAAAAATGGGTAGCGGCTTGACAAACTTGGGTTCAAAATCAAGAATCTGGAACTTTCTAGCTGTGTGGCTTCATCTAGTTATTTAATGTCTCTGAGCTTTAGTAACAGCCTACATTTATTAAGTGCTTCTCAAGGAGCAACACTGTTGTTGTTGTTGTTTTTAAATAATCTCTACGCCCAACGTGGGGCTTGAACTCACCACCCTGAGATCAAGAGTCACATGCTCTCTAGACTGAGCCAGCCAGGAGCCCCAGCGACACGCTTTTAATCACATCACACAGACCAGCCCGCTTCCTTCAAGGTGGGTGCTCTTATCACCATTTCACAGGTGGGAAAACTGAGCCACAGAGGAGTTAACTAACTTGCCCCAGCTCTTCCAGTCAGATTTAAACCTAGATGATCTGCTCTGAAGCCTGTGCCTTCAACTACCACACTAGCTATTCTTTGTCTTCTCATCTGTTAAATGGGAAAAATAATCACACTCTCCGTCTGGTGGCCAGAATCCAATGATACAATGCACCCAATTGCTCAGAATAGGAAGACTGTTTAATCAACAAACACCAACTATTTCCCATGTATAAATGCCTGGGGAGAGAACTTGAAAGAATTTGTCCCCCCATGATATTATCTCTGGGTTTGGGAGGGTTTTACTTGTTTTTTCTCGGTGTTTAAATTTTCTACAACCAGCATGCAGACAGTAACAAAAACAAACAAAACAAGACATACACACACAGATGAAAAATGGCACAGACTTCAAGTTTAGACAGTTCTGTTTGATCCCAGCTCTGTCCTTCCCTATCAGGTTAAACCATATTAAAATTGCCAACATTTGACCATTTTTGACCTATAAAAATGGCGTTTTACATGCTTCAACCTCATATCTGTGTGGACTTGTAGGTTGCTTACTTTCCTCATCTGCTAAATAAGGGCAATTGTGCCCACCCCAGAGGGGGCCGGGAGAGCTGAAGGAGGTGAGGTTTTGTTCAAGGGCTTGGCACGGCGCCTGGCGCAGGGAGGACGCTCGGGAAATGGTGGTTCTCCCCCTCCTGCCACCACCATCCTCACCATCACAGTAATAAGAACCCACCTGGTCTCTGGGCGCCTGGGTGGCTCAGTTGGTTAAGCGACTGCCTTCGGCTCAGGTCATGATCCTGGGGTCCCTGGATCGAGTCCCACATCAGGCTCCCTGCTCGGCAGGGAGTCTCCTTCTCCCTCAGACCCTCCCCACTCTCCTGCTCTCTCTCTCTCTCAAATAAATAAATTAATAAAGTCTTTTAAAAAAAAAAAAAAAGAACCCACCTGGTCTCCCCCTCCAGCCCTGGCTCTGATAACAATGAGGAAGCACTCCTTTCCAGAACGCTCCAAAGTCTCAGAAAGCCCCTTCAAGTCACATTTAAATTCACCTTCATTGAGAAACGCACAGGATCTTGCGTGTGAGATGTGGGTGGGTATGGATGCCTCCAGAACAATCTGATCACACCAGGACGTTGGAGACCGCCGAGGACCTCCAAAGGGTCTGGGAACTTGGGGAACGGGTGAGAAATGGCATTGATTCAACTTCTTGCCCCTTCTCTGCCATGGGGTGAGAGAGGTGCAGGCAATGTTTCTGTCTCCTGCTTACATCCTCTTAGGAGTGGGGGTGACAGGGCACATTTTGTATAGGGATCACTCAAATTCCTTCAGGAGCCAGGCAGGAAACTATGTGTGTGAAAGGCACAGTGCATCTTTGGGAGTGGTAAGGCCTATGGCCCACTGGAGACCGCACACCCAACAATCGGTATTCCGGTTCAATCTCGTATTTTTTTTTTTTTAAAGATTTTATTTATTTATTTGAGACAGAGAGAATGAGAGAGAGAGAGAGAGAGAGAGAGCACATGAGAGGGGGGAGGGTCAGAGGGAGAAGCAGGCTCCTTGCCGAGCAGAGATCCCGATGCGGGACTCGATCCCGGGACTCCAGGATCATGACCTGAGCCGAAGGCAGTCGCTTAACCAACTGAGCCACCCAGGCGCCCCGGTTCAATCTCGTATTAAGTCCCGCTATTAAACCAAACACAGATGCCATCTAGCAGCCACACCATATGCGTAGGGTCTGGACTTATTGAAGATCCCATGAGTAGGGAGAGCCTTTCATTTTCCTCCCATTTTACAGGAGCAGACCAGAGAGAGCCTGTGACTTCCTCAAGGCCACATAGCATGCTAGCAGCAAAGCCATGCTCTGAACTCCAGGTACAGTGAGTGCTCTTCCACCAGGCTAGGCTGTTTCTTGCTCTTATTTGCCCCCACCTCACTAAGGGACCCCAAGCAGGTCCCCTACCCTCTTGGGGCCTCAATTTCTCTCTCTGTAAACATGTGGGAGTTGGACTTGGTACTCTCTAAGGCCCTTACAGCTTTGGCATATTCTGAGGAGAGGATCAATGGGTGGGGAGAGGGGGGTAACCAGGATAGGGCAGAGAGTCGGAGGATCTGGGCTGGGGGGTTTTATCAGTCACAGCTGTCATGCCTGTCACTGCTGTCAGGCGGAGGAGCTCAGGGCCTTCCTCCCCAAGGCCCCAAACTCTCCCTGAGGGAGGATATTTGTACTCCACCCCATGGGATGAAGTCGGGGGGGGCAGTTTCTTGGAGCTGTTGACAGAGCCCAGTTGCCCCAAATGGGTGAGTCAATAACATTAGATGTCAGGCCTCTCTTCACTCTCTGCACCCTCCTGCTTCCTCTCCTGGCCTCCCAGAGCTCTAGGCCCCCCTCCAACTCCTCCTCGGTCTCAGGACTGGGACCCCCACTTCAGGGCCAAGTCCCAGCTCAGGGCATCCCCAGTGGTGCTGGCCTCCCCCTCTCAGATTCTGCGCTGCACCCCACATCGGCTGCTGGGCTGATAGGCTAATGGACTCTAAGGTGTTTGGAGGTGATAAGGAGTGGATGTGCTACAGGGGTCCCAATGACTGGGCCCCAGAGGGGAGTTCTACAGTCTCAGACAGGCCTTCGGGAGAATTTTATGAAAGCCCCACGACTTGCAGGAAGGGTCTAAGCTGAGAGCCCGCTGGTGTGAGAGGAGGCAATGATGACCAGCATTGGCAACAGCAGGCCCGTGCGTGATGCCCTCCACACACCAGGCACCATTCTAAGTGCCTTATGGCTTTCACCTGCAACAACTTCATGCAGTAGGTACTATTTACTATCCATCTTTTACAGATAGGAAAGGGAGGCCCAGAGAGGCGCCGGAACTAGCCCAGGTCACACAGCTAGCAAATGGTGAGCGATCTGAATGCTGACCGTCTGGGTTTAACCACGATGCATCATGCTTTTCCACACAGCACACAGGGTGTAATGGTGAAGACTCTGAGTCAGGTTGTCAGGGTTTAGAGCCTGGCTCTACCTCTGTGTCCCAGCTTCCTAATCTGTAAAATGGGTATGAAACAATGGCACCCACTCAGAGGATCGCCATGAACATTTTCACTGGCTCGTGCAAATCACTTAGCCTGGCATTGGATACACAGTGTTAGATGCTATTATCCTGTGTCTGCCACTTATTGGTTGTGTGACTTTGGGCAAGACCGTTCCCCCCTCCTCTGGCCTGGCTGCCCCTGTGTTTCCACCCACCTTTCCTCCTTCCTTTGGCCTGCAAACACTTCAGCACGAACAGCTTTGAAGCCAGAACCAGCTTCTGGCCCTTAGGCTCTAGGCTCGACTTCCACACTGTTCTCCCCACTGCTGACTGGGAAGACCTCTGCAGCCCCAGACTGGGACCAACCACAGAGCCCTAGGCTGACTTCTGTTCCCCAGTAGCCTCTACTCCCACCCTGCCTTCACCCCTACAGCATACAGGGAATGGAAAAAGGGATGTCCCAATCAAGGGGGATTGCAACATTGTAGGATTTGGGGGTACTGTATTTACATGTCGGTGGAAATGTCTTTTGGTAGCTCTCCTCCCTTTGGGGAGCAGGGGAGGGGACCTGGGTAGTATCCACAGTGCAGGGTCCAGGATGTTTCCCCAATGTGGCATTCCTAGAGCAGGCTCCGTGTGCAGACTGTTACAGTAATGGCTCCCGATGAATCACGCCTTCCAGTATAGACCCGTCCTGCCTGGGTTGGGCCTTGTGATTTGCTTGGGCCAATGTGACATTAGTCAACATGTTACAAGCCGAGATTTGAAAAGCACCCTCTCATTGGGGCTTATCCTCTTTTACTGCTATGACTCTTCTGCTGAACCACTTAATCACAATCATGAGCAAATTAAATGGTTGCTTTTTTCAGCCATTAAGTTTGGGGGTGGTTTGTTATGCAGCAATAGTTAGCTGCTACACTCTGCTTCTCCTAAGCATCTCATAGGCACCTCAACCCCAAGCCCAGAATGAATATATCGATGTTCATTTACCTCCCAAACTGCTCCTCCCCTTGTGCTTCTTGTCTCAGGAATTGGCACTTCCATATACCAAAGCTCATGTCTGAAGCCATCCTTAAACCCCTCCTTCACTTCCACCAGGTACAGCTCGTTTGATCTCCTAGCTGTCTCTTGAATATTTTGACGCTTTGTGTCTCCTTCACTCTCCCTGCCCATATGGCCTCATCACTGGCCGTGCGGACCAGTGGTCATCAGCGCAGGGAACACACACCTCAGAAGATGCTCCAGACAATCCATAGGGGCTGCTGGAAGAAGATATGAGCCCTTCTAGTTTTATTTGATTTTATAAAAATATAAGAAATTGAAGTTTATTAATAATGAAAGTGAGTACTCTTAGTCTGTATATGTTTTCGTTCTTTCAAACCTTTCAACAACAAATTGAAAAAGTACTATTGTCATGTGACCATGTCCCGCGACCCATGTCCCGTGACCCATGTCCCGCGACCCATGTCCCGTGACCCATGTCACGTGACATGGTTGAAATGGAGGGCAAGAAAGGTGGAATAATTTGCCCAAGATCTCGCAGCTGAGAAGGCGCAGAGGCAGGGTTTGAATCAGTCTGCCTTGAACGCTTCTCAAACTCTCGTGTGCGTTAAGAGTCACTTAGAGGGCTTGGTAAAACACAGTTTGCTAAAACCCACCCTGAACATTTCTGATCGGTAGGTATGGATCCGGGCCTGGGAATCTGCATTTCTAACACATTCCTGAGCTGTTAGTGGCTGAGGTGGTATCCTGGGGACCACACTTTGAGAACCACTGATCTAGGCTATCCTACTTCCAAAGGGCCTTGGTGAAGTTTGCAGCTCTGCAAGTATTTAAGATCCACATTGACCCAGGAGCCTCCTCTGCTCACTCAGGATGTCAAACAGTTTCTAGGCTCCTAGCTTTGGAAGGAGTCCTGAGGGAATATTGGGCCACTGGGAAGAGGGTGACGTGTTTCTCCAAATTCATCATGGTGCAGTGAATGGCAGGGTTTTTTTTTTTGCTTTTCATTTTAAATTTAATTCTTTATTATGGAAAACGTTAAGCATATACAAAAACAGAGAGAGTTGCATGGTGAATGTCATGTCTCCATTCCCAGCTTTGATGACTGTCCCACACGGGGCTGATCTGGTTTTTATTATCCTTTCCACTTCTTTCCTTTTTTTTTTTTTTTTTTGACTGGCATTAAGCAAGCCCTGGACATTGCTTCATTTCAATATACCTCTCTAGCAGATAGGGCCTTAAAAAAAACCCCACCATACTATTATCAGACTTAACAAAACTAACAATAATTCCTGTATGTCATACCGGATTCATGCTGATTGCCTCAAAAATGTCTTTTTGGAATTAGCTGGTTTGAATAACATTGAGTTCATGTGGACTGGATTAGATTAAGTGAATTGACAGATAAGGTAACCTAGTTTTAGCTCAACTAACCTTTACAAAATGGACTAATGGCTTGAACAACGCCTGCCTAAAACCACAGAATGAAGGCAGAACCATAATGGCAGCCAAGTGTATAAAAAAAAAGGGCAGAGTGATATTTCTTGTGTAAACTCTTCAACCGTCACATTCGAGGTTTTAAAAAAGTCAGTCTAATTAGATCTGACAGGAAGTCAACCAGGAGAATTTGAAGTTATCAAGAAGACTCTAGGAATGGATTTACATCCACTCTCAGTAATGGAAACAATGGACCTTGCCTTGAGATTGATTGGCACCATCACAATCAGTAATTTGAAAATATTATGTATTTGTTTTGACCTCTTTCAGATTTTCTAATTTGTGTGTATTATTATAATGTACAAAATACATTCACGCAGCAGTACTTGATGATGACATGTAGGTATGGTACGTGCTTAAAAAATGGTGTATGTGATCAGAAGCGTTTGAAGTCCTCTGGTCCATACTACACACAAGCCCACACACTGGTCTCCCACCTCAAGTCATGGCCCTTTCCCCTACCCCTCCACTAGCCCAGGAATGGCTTTCTCCACAACCTGAACCCAAACTCACCACACCCCTGCTTCTTCCTATCAGCTCAGCAGCATGAAGGTCAAGCTCCTTACTCAACCCAGTGGGTCCACCATGCCCTACTGCCTTCTTTGGGCTCCAATGTTGCGATGTTAAACCCTAACCTGGTCCACTCCAGTGAGTGCACACTCTGGCTGATGATCCATTTTCACATGGTTAATTCCTACCAAGCCTCCAAGACGTGGCTGGTCAGTCACTTCCTTCCAGAAGCCTTCCCTGACACCATCAACTCCCCTGCCTGGGTTATGGGCCCTCCTCTGTGCTTCCTTGTAAAGTGAGTGTCTGAGGACACTTCATTTCTATGTTACCAGCAGCAGAGGGGTGAAGAATGTGGACCCTGGCGCCAACATACAGAGTTGAAATACTGGCTCCTATACCCACTGGTTATATGACAGGTGACTCAAGCTCACTGTAAAACGGAGCAGTGAAGCATTGTGGTTACGTGCATGGAAACTAAAACCAGGCTGCGTGAGTTTAAATTTGCTGTGTTATCACTGGTTGAGTGACTTTGTGCAAATTAATCAACGTCCATGTGCCTCATTTCCTTATATGAGAAACAGAGATCATAATCATACCGACTCATGGATTATTGTGAGGGTTCAATATAAAGCATTTAAATAGTGCCTGATACTTAGGAAGAGAAAATAAGTATTAGCTCTGATTAGCACGTGTCTAGATCCCCCACTGGATGTAATACAGGGTTGAATGAATACATGAGCGGATGAATGCATGCATTGAATTATATTGTATTGGACTGAAAAGAATTAAAGTAAACTGAAATGAACTTAAATTTGTCTAGGCCTTGCTCGTCAGGCGCTAAGGGCCCCTCTCTGGATCAGCCCCTGAAGTGGTGTAGAGGCTTCCCTCCCCAAGTCATCTCTTTGTCCTACTTACTTCTGCTTAGGGCCCAGTGATGCTTTTCCATTGCTCTCAGCTAGCTAGTCAGTTAATATCACTCGGGAGGAAGCAGGCACTCAACCAGACTAGAGCTTCAGCTTTGTCTCAGGGAGGACACTCAAGGAGGACCATCCATTATCATAGATAAGATATCGGCCCAATGAGATGCTTGAAACTCATCTCAATTTTTTTAAAAAAAGCAGAAGCCACACCACTGTGGATATCTGTCTTGTTTACAGTTGTTCTCATCACAGTCTGTGAATATTTTTAGCTGCATCTAAAATCACAACCATCCTACACTCCTCTTCAGCCATACCTTATGGCTCTGGATTTGCAGACAGAATGTAGACTTCCCAGCCAATGAGTGAGAAGGAGAAGGCTGGGGGTGGGGGAGGGGCAACAGACTCAAGCTACCAAAAGGAGGGTGGTACAGAAATGAGCAAGAGAGACCAAAAAAGAAAAGGAAATAAAAACTAAAAGCCAAACAACGTGAAATTCCTTGCTGTTCAGGAGAAAGGGGAGGAAAGGACAGAGAAGCAGAGACTTATGAAAACCATTTGGCAAAGGAAATTCTAGAAATACGGAATAGGAGGGCCCTCACTGCCCTGACAAATCAAGGAAGGCTTCATGGAAGAGGAGATGTCCACGTTGGTCCTAAAGGGGGAGCCTACATTGTTGGCTGGGTCTCTGCGCAACCTATGGGAGAAGGTGTGGGAACCCATTTACTCAGAGACTTTGTGGAAAGGAACATGTCAGCCACTGGAGGACCACAGACCTCCTCTTCCCTTGTTCCTGCTACTTGCCTCTGTGACCACCCCCCTCTGGACACTCACCTCGAAAGTTCCCCATGAGCTTCTTCGGATCCTGTGAGGAAGTGTCAGAGGAGGTGAAAAAGAAGAAGATGACAATGAGAGCCACCTCCAGCATTAGGATCCACAGGGGCAGACAGCGCCGCATAGATGGTGGGTACTTGGAGCCCATCCTGTGTCCTTGTCCGTGTCTGTGTGGCATCCAGCACCAGGCATCACCCCTCTACCCCCACCCCCACTCCAAGGAGTGATAGGGGAGACACCCGCCAAAAGCCTTATCTCCAGCTGCAAGGCTGGTTTTGCTGGCCTGTTGATGGAGTTAACATAGGAGCAGAGGGACTGTGACAGGGAGCAGAAGAGATGCATTTATTCCAACACTAACTCATTCATTCAGTCCCTCACTTATTTGTTCATTCAACAAGTAGTTGCTGCATTCCTGCTCTAGGACGGGCACTGTGCGCAGTTTCAAAGAGGGCATCCGTTCACTGGGCACCCACACATAAGAACCCTCCTTTGCTCATGACTTCAGTTTACCCTCCCCATATCCTTGCAAGGCAGAGAGTGGATCAGCACTCCTATTTTACAAATGGGGAAACGGAGTCTCAGAGGGGGCTTTGGATTGGCAAAATTTCTCTTTAAGACCTTACCCAGTGAGCTCTTAATAAGAATGTATTGAATGAGAATGAATGAATGAATGAATGAATGAATGAATGAATGAATGAAAGCAAAGAACAACACTAAGCCCTGAGAAAGATCCAGACAGAGCCCCTGGGGAACTAACTCTTCTGAGTTACATGGTTGAAATTATTTATGTTTGAATCTGTACTTAAATCTACTTGTTTGTAAATCTTTTAAGGGTAGGTGGGGGAAAAGAAAGGAGGCTTGGGTCCAGCTCTAGTAAAAACCTGGTGGGGTCCTGCTCCAGCCCTAGGCTGTAGTTGTCTCCAGCTCTGGTCACCTCCTCACAGAGCAACCCAGGACTCTGCCTGGGGCATGAGGCAGACCACCAGCTTCAGGACCCCTGTCCCACAGCAGGGGCAGTCCCCTGAAATGGGACTGAGGGCACCTGGGCTCCAGTTCCTACCCTGCAGCTAACTTCTGGAGCCCCATCCCTGTGCCTAGCAGATGGTCTGATCTATAATAAGCATAAAGAAAGAGAGGGAGAAAGGAAGGAAGGGAAGGATTGGCCCCAGCCACTGGCCACTGGGTATAGACTGAATTTATGGGGCCTCAGATAATAAAACTAGACTAGGAGTTGCAGGGAGGCAGATTCTGGCCCAGCATGGTGGATACTTTATTGACCATTATAGCTGTCCGGTGAAACAGGCTGCTCGTGAGGTAGTGAGCACCCTGTCCCTAGCGGAATGCAAACAGAAGCTGATGGTTACTTGTCAGCGATGTCTTGGAAGTGATTCAATATGCAGTTTGCTGGAGATTTTAACCACCCAAAAGAATCTTTTCATTTTGTTTTTAGATGAAGAAACTCACACCAGAAGGTCATACCCAAGGTCATACAGCCAGCTGACATCAGTCACTTCTTGCTCAGCGCAGCTTTATTGGCAGAAGGAAAAAAAATTGAAAGTAACCGAAATGTCCAGTAGTAGGGGACTGGCAAATAAGCTACAGGACACACATCTTGCCACCAACATCATGGTCCTGAACATATGTGGGAAAAATCCAGAGGAAAATGCTTTTAAGGTTTATCAAAACTGACACGGAGGATATACTATTGGGTGGAAAAGCAAGTTGTAGTACAGTGTGTACAGTATGTTCCCATTTTCGTGAAAAATAATAATAAAAACCCAATATGTTAATGCATACATAGGGGAAAAATGGCTGCAAACCACCAATGCCAGCTCCTTTCGCTTTAGATGCTGTCTGGAGCTAACACTTACCAAGCACTTACCATTGCTAGGCAATGTTCTAGGCACTTTACATGTATGAACTCAGTTAATGACCCTGGGAGGTGGGTACTATTAGCCTTTTATGACAAATGAGGCACCCGAGGTGCAGAAGGGTTACGTGACTTGTCCAAGGTGACAGGACTAATAAGTAGGAGAACCTGGATTTAACCCAGACCCAAAGCCCGGATTGAGCAACTGGGTGTTTAACCACACAACTGTGGCCCAGACGACTTCTAAGTCCTCTTCCGAGTCTAGGAACATAGGATTCCCAGCCCTCTGCCCTCTAAACAGTAGCAATAGAGAGAAGGTACCCTGACTGCTAGAGATCAGAGATAGAAGTCTCCATCCCCTCATGGTCACCCCCTGGTTCTGATTTCTGGCCATCAGCACTTCTTATGAACTGGGTTTCCATAAGGAGGGGCTCCCCTGTGTGGGGGACAAATAAACATGACCCTAGCTGGCCTGAGTCCTGTACCAGCACCTTGTAAACCAGGCAGCTAGACTCACCTGCCCAGGGGCACCAAAGGTCAGCCAGATGAACACTGAAGATTTTCAGTCTCTGCCAGCCCCTGGGCCTGGAGGTTGTGTTCACCCTCGGGCCAACTTAGTGTGGGTGGCAGCTGGTTCCACACCCCGGAAACCCCTGTGCGGCCTGCCCCTACCCCAGTGAGGGACAGACTGCTTGACAAGAGGGCCAAGCTCCTTGCCAAACAGGCTTTCTTTAATAAAGGGAGGTATCCCCCACACTTGGCCTCTCCCAACAGATTTGTCAAAAGGGGAATGTTCTTTCTTCCCCTCTGACTCTTGCAAAAGGTCCCTGATTTCGCACTCCTGCTCCAGACATTCTGTCTTCAAACCATCAAGGCAGCTCAACTGGTCCAAGAAAGCACAGAGGGGGATGCCTGGGTGGCTCAGTCGTTAAGCGTCTGCCTTCGGCTCAGGTCATGGTCCCAGGGTCCTGGGATCGAGCCCTGCATGGGACTCCCTGCTCTGCAGGAAGCCTGCTTCTCCCTCTCCCACTCCCCCTGCTTGTATTCCCTCTCTTGCTGTCTCTCTCTCTGTCAAATAAATAAATAAAATCTTTAGAAAAAAAAAAGAAAGAAAGAAAGCACGGGGATCTAGGGCAGATATGTCACAAAACAAATATAGTTAAATGTTCATTGTTGAGTCTACGCGGGAGGTAAAGGGCTTTTCACTGTATAATTCTTTCAACTTCACTGGCGTCTGTTAGAAACTTTTCATAATAAAATGCTGGGGAAAGCACTGTGTGTACCTGCTTCTCCCTCTGCCTAAAAGCCTCCTCCTGTCAGAAAACTGCCCCTGCCCTCTCCGCCTCAGAGCCAAGCACAGGGACTTCTGATTGTTGTATCTCAGCACCTACTGCTCATCCATAAGAGGTGATCAATAAATTTTGGGCTTTTTGAAAGATTTTATTTATTTATTTGAGAGAGAGAGAGAGAAAGTGCACAGAGGGAGAGGGAGAAGCAGACTCCCCGCTGAGCCAGGAGCCCGACACGGTGCTCGATCCCAGGACGCATGAGATCATGACCTGAGCCGAAGGCAGATGCTTAGCCAACAGAGCCCCCCAGGCGCCCCTAAATATTTGTTGAATAAATAACAACTGCCATTTCCGGAATGCCAAGCACTGGACCAAGCATTTTGCATACATTATTCCATCTACTTTTCCCCTCAAGCCTGTGAGTACAGGCGCAGTCATCCTGTCTTACAGATGAGGAAGCTGCTACTCAGAGAGGTGATGTGAGCGCTCAACATCACAGCTAATAAATGCTAGGGGTGGGACCCATCCTACATCCCTCTGACGCCACGGCTTATGCTGTCAACTACTTTGCAGTTCTGCCTTCCATTTAGTAAACCACTCACAGCCTCAACTTCCTTAATGAGTCAAATAAGATGAGCTGCTCTACTTTCCTCACAGAATTATTACAAATGTGAGAATGAATACATAAGCATGAGTGGCGGCTGGGTTATAGAAAGGAAGGTGGGCAAGTGGCGCCATGCCTGTGACGTTCTGATCTAAGTGACCAGGCTTCCTCCAGGTGTGACAAATCAAGTCAGAGAGACTACAGAATTCACATGTAATTGTGCATTTTCTGTAATAACAGGACTCCATAAGAATACTCACCATACCGTCCACATCGGGCATTGTAAAGCTCAGTCATGGGCAGCAAGCAAGGACGTAGGTAAGTCCTCCATTCCCTCTCTGGAAGTTTGTCCATACCAAGGGTGTGATCCTGCTCTGGGCACGCCTGGGTAAACTGTGGCTAAGTCAATCATTCATTCATTCATTCATTCATTCATTCAACAAACATGATCTTGGGAGTCAGGCAGTCTGGGTTCAAATCCTGACTCCACAAATTACTGGCTGTGTGAACTTGGGTATGATGATCAATATCTATTTCCTCATCTGTAAAGTAGGGAAAATCAGTGTCAATCTCATAGAGTGGTTGTGAAGACTTTTTTTTTTAAGATTTATTTATTTGAGAGAGAGAGTACATGCAAGTGGAGGGAGGGCAGAGGGAGAGAATCTTCAAGCAGACTCCCCACCAGTGCAGAGCCTAATGTGGGGCTTGATCCCACAACCCACGAGATCATGATCTGAGCCGAAATCAAGAGTCAGACACCTAACCCACTGAGCCACCCAGAGAACCCCGGTCATGAAGAGTAAATGAGGAAGTGCATGTACGTGTCAGATGTGTAGAAAATCCTCCATAAATGTTAGTAATTATTATTGCACAGGGTTGGTGTATTTACTGTAGAAAACTCTGAAAATGCAGACGTGCATAAAGTTTACATAAAGCACCCATGATTTCCATAGCTCCAAAAACCAGTTCTTCTTCTTTTTGTATATTTTTCAGATTTTTTTTCCTATTCATGTGAATTTAGGCCTTGTTTTCTCCCCTACAAAAATGAGTAATTGCTGTTTCCGTGAACAGTATATCCTAAGTCATTTCCAAGCCTGGAATATCTTTCTACAACATTCTATCAGGGTGGCTAAGAACCCAGGCTCTGATGTCAGAATTTCTGAGTTTGAATCCGGGCTCTATCATTTACTGTGCGACCTTAGGCAAAGAACTGAGTTGCTCTGGGCTAGTTTTCTCGTCTTTAATATGGCACCAGTAACATCTCTACCTCATAGGGTTGTTGTGAGGTTGAGATCAAAGTGCATATGGTGCTTAGAGCAGTGACTGTACGTGGTAAGTGCTACGTGTCACCATTCTCCATGCCACATGACTTCCATGGTAAGAATGTGTGACCATGTTTGACCAGCCCCCTTTGAGGATTATCTGGGTTATTTCTAAACTGTTTCTGTTCTAAACATTACAATGAATATCCTCCATTAACAGGGTTCTCTGGGGGACACAGATACGTGTATAAGAGGTGGCCACCCCAGCGTCCGGACTTTTCGGTGACTCCTGTGGCATGGGAACCAAGTTCAAGGCAGCTGGGCAGCTGACTCGAGGGCTTGAGGGGATTTGAAGCTACTGAAAGAGGGGGGGATGCAGTTTTCTTATTTGTGAAACGGGATGTGATGATCACTCTCCAGGCTCTTCTGAGCTATTCTGAGCTCAGGTGAAGCTCAAGGACAAATCTCAACCCCTTGCCCATTGAACGTCCCAGGAGAAGAGGAGGGACAACCCTGAATTCTTGGCTGGGCCTTGGTCTTTTGAATACGAACAGATGATTTCCCTTCCCTGTCTTACTCATCTGTAAAATGGCCACTGCTCTCCCCTGGTTCCTGACTGATGGTGGAGGTATGGGGAGCTTGGGGGGCTCTGTGGCAGGCAGGAGGCTACCCCACCTCTGCCCAGGCCTGTGCCCTTAGGGTCCCAAAGAGCCATCTGAGGGCTCAGAGGGGAAAGGCTGGCACTTGACTAGAGCCCAAAGGAGCTTGGGCTAGGGCGGCCCAGGAAAAGAGATGGTCTGGCTGGGGCAGAAGGAGGGAATGGAGAAGGGCAGTCTTACCGTGGGCTCTTGGCAAGGGGACAATTCCTGTCATCCTACTCCAGCCCATCACCAGATCAATAAACCTAGTCATCAATAACCATCTCTAGGCCCCAGGTTTGGCCTATAGCATCACAGCTTGATCTCACTCAGCTGTTCCTTGAGCTAAGCTGCTCTACCAAGCCAATTGCATAATTTTATTTTCTCCGAGCCTCAGTTTTCCCATCTGTAAAATGGAGCTAAAATGACCTGCTTCTAAACACAGGGCTTGAAGAGTCTCCAGAGGGGATCTTGGCACAGGTGTATGCAGGTAACTCAATAGCAGGGTGTTGGGACTGGAACCCAGACCACCAGATTTTCTCTGTTCTTTCTCTTTCCCCCATGTAACCTTATGCCTGAGAGTAACTCCCAGTCACTCCACACTTCTGCCACAGCATGGAATGTCCTTATAAGGATGGTAGGCTAGACAGTGAGCTCCAGCGCCTCTGTCATCTTTTCCTGGATTACTCACCTATTCGTTCCACAGTGTGCCATGGCACTGTCCTAGATAACAGGGACATAAAGGGGAGTGGAAAAGACCATGGATATGGCCCTGTTAATAACCTTACTGAGTTGGCTGTCTCTGGCCCAGGTAATCTGGAGCCTTGTAGTCATGGAGTTGATGGCTATATTCAGATCTGGGGCCTCATGGAGTCTAGAGCCAGGATCTTACCATGTAACCTTCCTAATGCATTCAAGCCTCCAGAATATTGATGTAGGTCCTGCCTGTATCCTCCTCCATGAACCAATTCACCTTGGCAGCTGAAGCCTTTTTCTGTTGCTCCAAGCAGAGCATTCCATTCAGACCCTTTCACAATGATGGGCAGCCTTGGTGAAAGTTTGAGCTCACGGAGTTTGTTATCCTTGGCTACCCAGTGCCACTTTATCAACATGCTGGAGAGAAGTGAGGGATGAAAAACAAGTACATAATAAAAAAAAATCTTTAAAAAAAAAAAAAAAGAAAGATAAGGGGCGCCTGGGTGGCTCAGTTGGTTAAGCGACTGCCTTCGGCTCAGGTCATGATCCCAGGGTCCTGGGATCGAGTCCCACGTCGGGCTCCTGGCTCAGCGGGAAGCCTGCTTCTCCCTCTCCCACTCCCCCTGCTTGTGTTCCTGCTCTCGCTGTCTCTGTCTCTGTCAAATAAAAAAAAAAATCTTTAAAAAAAAAAAAAAAGAAAAACAAGTACACTATTAACAGTAATTGCTTGCTGTTACACCTACTGCATGCCTGGCCCTGAAAGTTCATTATTCTATAAGCCTTAAAACATACCTGAGTGGAAACAGAGGTTCTAAGATTCTGTAACTTGCCCAAGCTAGTAAGTGGCCACGCTGGAATTTCAATCCTGGTCTGAAAAGGTAGGTACTCTTGCAATTTTTCAAAACTGCATCTCTTCAGAATAAGGATCCAATCTCCCAAGAAGCTTTCATCCTTGGTGGATGAACAAGACTCACCCAAGAAACCCGACTTAGGAGCAGCACTGCTGGAGATGCTCTGTGTGGGAGCAAAGGCAGAAAGGAGGGAAGATAAGGTTGCAGTGGGTTTTAGGACAGTGAGTAGATAAGGCTTGCTGGCCTGGGTAGGCCTGGAAAAGGAGAGTGGGTCTCCAGTGTGACAGCTCTGGATGCCATAACAAAGAGAATGGCTTTCAGGCATTGGAGGATCTTTAAAGATTTGTGAGCAGGATAAAATAACGAAGAACAGCAGATGAGAATGATGACTTTGATACAAATTACAAGTTCCTCCTTGGGGTAGGTGTTGATTAAGGGGGTGATTACAGGGCAGGAAGAGGTCCCTCCAACTCAGGACAAAACCAGGTACCATCTACTTCCTGGAAGTTTTTAAAATGTGCTGGAAGACCACCTCACAGTCCCACTGTTGGTGTGTGGTTAAGTTGGTATGGCCACGTGATAGGAGATTCAGCAGCCATCAGAAATATTTAGGGAGGATGCATAATAACATGGGACAATGTTTACATTAAAGAACAGAATACAAAAAGACCAACCCTAAAGGCCTTCAGTGGCAACCCTGTCGGGACCCCTCTCACTTTTGAGAGCTTTTTCTGTATCTTCACTTAGTAAACTTCTATCAATTTACTCACACACACACACACACAAAAGAACAGAATACAAAGCTGAATATCTAGTATGATCACAACTCTTCAGTAATAATAGCAGTAATAGTAATAATGATATCACCCATGGGGGAAAATAGGAAAGAAAGAAAAAATTTAGAGTGCTAATAGTGGTCGTGTTAAGGTGATGAGATCCATGGGTGTTTCTTCTCCCTTCAGCTACTTTTTGACAGCTTCCCAGTTTTCATTAATGACATTCTTTTTAAAAGAATCTTTGCTGTCTTTTCTAATGTGATTTTGCCAGACCTACGTTACAAGGAATTAATGAGGGGTAAATGACAAGTAGATGCAAAGCACTCAGCACGGTGCCTGGCACAAAATCGGCGCTCTAGGAGGGTCCGGTGAGAGGGGTCGCTGGCCGGTGTCCCAACATCTGAAAAGCCCGGCCCTCGCCGCCGAGCAGCCTCCCCTTAGTCCCCGCGGCATCGACCCCTCGCACAGCACTGACACGTCCCCGACGCTGACGCTCGCCGTGTCCAGCAGGCGCGGTGCCCGCGGAGCCATCCGCACAGCCCATCCTGCAGACGTGGAGAGAGGGTCGCACCGCCCTACACACCCCCGGCAGCCCAGCTCGACGTCGCGCGCACCCACGGCCCCGCCCCCTGTGACGCGCCCCCAGGGGGCGGGACCGTAGCAGCCCCGCCCCGCGCCTCCTCCGATTGGCCGCCGCGCTGTCACCACGTCGCCGGGAGCTGGCAGGGTGTGTGCGTGTATGTGTGTGTGGGGTTTGCTTTGTCATTCGTACCCCCGTCGCGCGCTGACGCGGCCGGCCTGGCCGAACGCTCCAGGATCCGCAGAAAGGGCCCCCGGCGCTGACCCCGGAGGCTCCCGGAGGGGGAGGATGCTGCGAACCCCTTACATAATGACGCGACTGACTGGGGCACATGTCAGCGCAGAAAACAGCACATGCCGCAAACCCAGGCCTCCCGATTTCATACGGTGCTAGTGATAGCGGGCAATGAATATAGCACGGTATGCTCTAGCATGGATTATAATACAATGAAACGCAACCCAACAGTCATGAAGTGTGCCTTCGCAATAAGGCATAATATAGGATGTTATATTTATAGGGCCTATTTATAAGCCTCTATTTAAATCTTTTCTGATAGGCCCAGGCACGCACACAGACACTATAATGATTGGCGCATTCTTCTGTCCTTCAAAGAGGCGGGTTCTCGAGTCCGTTGTGCCTCAGCGGGCCCCTGGATTGGCCGGCAGCGGCGTAGCGACGCCTTCGATTGGCCTCGGGGGCCGTCCGTCGGAGCCGAGGAGGCGGGGCAGGCGGCTGGCTGGTGCTGGGGCGGGCGGGCCCCGGAATTGTCATTTCTTTGTTTCCGAAGGCGGAGGAGGCTCTGAGCCCCCCCTCCCCGTCCCACCCCCTCCCCCCCGGGTGCTGGCTCCATGTCTGTGTGACCGGCCCCAGGGGTAGAGTCCAGGCCCGACGCGGGGCGGGCCGGCGGCGGCGGCGGCTGAGGTGAGAGACGGCGGCGGAGGCGGCGCGGGCACCCGGCCCCCCAGCGGGAGGATGAAGCGGCGGAACGCCGACTGCAGTAAGCTCCGCCGCCCCCTAAAGCGGAATCGGATCACCGAGGGCATCTACGGCAGGTGAGCGGCGGCGCCCCCGCCTCCGCCCGCGCGGGCCCCGCGGCCCCCGGTCGGCTGCGGAGGGGCCCGGCCCCGTTATGTAACCCCGACTAGGCCGCACGCCCGCGCCGGGGGCTCTCCAGAGGAGCGCGGCCCGGGGGGCTCCGGCCGGCCCGCAGGGGTGCGCCCCGGGGGCGCGGGGCGTGGCGAGGGCCGCCGTCCGGGCGGGGAGGGCGCGGCGGCCGCTGGCGGAGGAAGCCGCCGAGCCGCCGTTGGGAGCTCCCTGGACCCGCCGGGGGGAGGGGCGGCAGGCCCCCTCCCCTCCCGCGCCCCTAGCCCAAGCCGCCGGGCCCCGAGGGCTGCTCCCGGGGCCGCCGGGCCTCCGCTGGCCCCCCAGTTCCGCTCTGGCCTGGGAGTCGCCGGCCTGAATCGGGAGGCGGGTGGACCATATGCACTAGGGGGAAAGGCTGACAAAGTTGGGAGCAGACGGTGGCCCCACGGTCCCCGGCAGACTGGGCAGGTGGCCACGTTGCCCGGTCTTTCGCCCTCTACTTCTCTTGCGGGATCTCAGACTTGGCACCGAGGGCTGAAGCCGATACCCCCTAATCATGCCCTGTGGCCCCGCTCCAAACTCAGGAGCTGATGATCATTTTCTTAACAAACATTATTTTGAGCATTCTAAGCTGATAGTTTTCTTCGAACCTTTTAAAAGGGATTTTTTTCCAAACTCAAAATTTTCTTTTTCTTCCGGGAAAAAAAAAAAAAAAAAAAGTCAGTGTCCCTTTAAATAGAAACTGAATTCGCTGCTCTGAGGGGGAGAAGGATAACAGGTTCATGGGGCAACTTGGTGACAATCACAGCTTCCTAAGCAAAACTTGTGTACGACCTGTCATTTTTCTGGTTCTTCTTAGAATGTTAATTCTGAAGGGTACTTGCCTTGATAAATGATTTCGGTGGAGAAATCATTAATTTACAAAGGAGAATTATCAGCATGTGTATATAGGCTTAATTGAGTTTTCGTGGTATTTTACGATTTAGCTGTTTGAGCTTGTGGGACTTAGAGAAATATGTGAGGTAGCTGATAACACCCAAGTTGTCACCAAGCTAATGACCAAGTCTTAGCATAACTGTACACCTTGCACATGCTGTTGTTTACATATATGGAAGATTGCTTTTCACAAGCAGCTGAGTGATGTAAACATCAGGGGTTTCCTTTATTTCAAGTTTAAAAGCATTAAGAAGTCAAAGTATAAAGTTCTTATGTATATTTATCCTTCTCTATAGATATATCCTTATGTAATGAGCCATAGATCATAGGAATAATTCATTCATTCGTTCAACAAATGTACATACTATGTGCCAGGCCCTGTTCTAGCTATGAGGGTACAGCAGTCAGTAAAACAGGCCAAAATCCAAGCTGAATTAATCAAACCTGACCATTTAAACTAAAAGTGAAAAAGCTAAAACCATTTTCCTACAGATTTAAAAGGTGGGGGAGGAATGTCTCTTTAAGTTGAAGACACTGTGATCCTTTAGGAAGGATTTTTTTCTGCCCATTGAAAAAGATTTGAACAACTTAATAGTGACACAAGAATAGAAAAAGCATATTAAACAGAATTGTAGACCAAGGACTTTGAATGGCTGCTAGTCACCGTAACACATGATGATACACCTTTATAGAAAGAAGACTGGGGATCCCATATTGTTTACATGTGTTGTATTTTGACATCTCTTTATATTTGAACAAATGATCCAATTTAATACCTGCCTGATAGTAACCACTCAATCAATGGGAACAATGTGAATTCATTGTCTAATGAAGATCTATGATTTTAGTGATGAGCTTTTGGAATTCAAATGTTCTTACCCTACGGTAAATATGCTATGCAAGTTATTCAGAGTTTTGCTCTAAAATTTTAAAACCCAGCAGCTCTCAAATCTGTTTGCCCTTCTCTGTTTGGCATTCTTTAAGTTAGATGTTAATCAAAGACCTACATATATTTCTACCTGTCTTTCCTTTTGGAGCATCATATATCAAATGAATGTTTTAATTCACTTACCTGTTTCTTAGTTTATAATATGGAGTATTGGACTAAAGAACAAGATCATAGTTTTGTTTTTTTCCAATTCTGTTTTTAAAAATATGTTTAGAAATTTTTCCTTTATTCCTAAAACAAACAGAATGAGTGGGCTAGTTATAAATTATGGTGTTTGAGGATTTGTGAATATCAAATTTCTGTGATCATCGAATTTAACTCTATATTAAATTGTTCTTCATACCATCTATTACCCATTTTGTTTCTCAACATCTAGCCAATTTTGGTCTTATTAAACAGAGACCTTTTTTCCTGAGGCTCTGTTGACAGTTTTGATAACCACTGTCTACTGTTTCACAGCATAACCTTTCATGAACATTATTTTCATGTTCTCAGTCTGCACAACTTTTTGAGTCTGGGCATAGCAAGGAGGCAGCTGTGATGAAGAGAGCACTGGACTGTGGGCATCAGGAGACCTGGGTTCGGACTCAGAATCCCAGCTCTGCCACTTTGAGCCCCATTCTCTCATCTGTCAAATGAGTCTTGAGGACTAAAGGAGCTCATGTTCAGTTTGTGAAACTCTTATAAATTCTAGCAGGCTATCCAAATATTATTTACCCTGTTGTTGTTATCACAGTTTAACATGTTTGGTTTATTTTTTAAGGAGGCAAGAGAGACTATAAGATTTGCTACAGTTATAAACAGAAGTTGAGTAGTCAAAACAAAGGGTCAGTTGCTGCTTGGTCTTGCTGAAAAAAATCCTATTGCTGAGACGCTTTTAATCATGGGCTCCAATCCAGCAACTGTGACTGAGGTGATTGTCAAATGATATGCTTATTGTCAGTATAATGACTGTGACAGAATTGTTTCGGGGCAAGGTAAAAGGAAAATGGATTTTAGACATATCAGCATTATCTTCATTTATATGTGTGCCCATTGTTTGAAAATTGAAATGTACATATATCTTATTCCAGTCAAATTAATAATCAAGAATAAGAGAAAAGAAACAGGAATGGTGATGATTTTCTTTTATGTTATTAAGGACTAAAATTCAAAACCCATTTAAAAACAATCCGAGCCAGCATAGATCCAGAGTAGAAATTCAGTATTCAATAAATGTTGAGTGTGTGAGTTAATAAATAAATGAATATAAACTAATTCATCCTACTCAGTTAAGAACCTGTGTTGTTCAGGGAATCGTGGAGGATACAGAATTAGATATGGTTTCTTGTCTTCAAGGAGTTTACAGTTTAGTAGATCATCATAATGCCCTCTTAAATTTGTACAGTGGTTTTGAGGTTCCAAAGAACTTTGCGTTCTGTTCAAGGAAAAATATTTTTGTTGAATTATATTTTAGCTGGCTATTTTAGTTGTTCACCTGATGCATTAACAGCTTTATTTTGCCCTGTGCTATTTTATGATGAAGTAGACAGTCGCCAGTAAGTGAGGGAATATTCTCTAACTCAAATGAGATAAATGTGAAAGAACTTTGGAAATGATAAGGAATGGTTATTAATAAGAGAAAGCAAAATAAATAACTGCACTTAACTGTGACATTCCAGACGTCCTCAGGTTTTATGGCAGCGATTCTCTGCCCATGTCTGCTCCTTCACACATGCACCAGACACTCCCAGCAGTAACGTCTAATTACATGCGGTGATTCTCCAGGTGAGGTGGGGTTGGAGTACTCTGTAGTTTTTAAAAGCCTTAAGGGGATCCTGTGTGGTTTAGCCACCTGTCACTTTGCCATGTTCCCCACTTCCTTCCCCCTGAGAATTGCTGACTTTATAATGGAAAGATGAGATGATGGGTGTGGTAGGGAGAAGACAGGGGCAGAGACGTTTATGTTGAAAACTTCTGGAGTTAAAATTGTTACTTGCCCAAGTAGGCATAATAAGCATTTTAAGTAAGGCACATGTGTTAAGCTTCAGGAAACTATTCTATATCTTTGTTACTGGTGGTTGAAGGAAGCGCCCCTTCACTTGTGAATTTATGAACACTTCCTGTCATCGTGTAGCACGCCACCTGCAGCTTCGATGAGCAGGACTGTGCCTGACTCGTAGATTCTTACAGCTTCACACCTTCAAACTAGAGCTGAGGACTCGGACGTCCCTGGTAGGTAGAATACCTTGGCCCGTCTTTGTTTCAGAAAAGAGTTTCCTGGCCTCTGACTTTTGGAATGATCCAAGTTTGCATCCTTCTCAGCTTCCTAATTTCCTTTTTCAGACCCTAGTCGAAATAATCTGATCTCCAGAGATTTCACTTTTCTGCCGTTCCTGCCTCTTTAATTAATGATGTTTCCTAAGCCTAGTTTTAGCTCCTTTGGGCTATGCTTATTAAAGCCACTAGAGGCTGGCCTGATCCTTGGCTGCCTTGATTGTACATGTGTTCTGCAACCGAAACCCCAGACACCCCAGTGTTGCAACCTCACAGCCTAAAAGCATTTTGGTAATCTTGGGAGGCTTTTTCAGCCACACTGGACCTGACATGAAAGTGATAGATTCTGTATTGTTTTAGAGGGGTGTTGGGGAAGGGGGTGAGTTTGGACTAACCTTTCCAGTGAGGTGTTTACCTAATCCTTATATTTGCAATTTGCATGAAATGCATTTGAACAAATCTGCCACACTGGAGTTTTGTACTTAGTTTTTGCCAGTAGTGTGTTACCTTAAAAGAAAGGTACTTTCCTCCAACTCTCATTTATGATTCTTCTTGTCTGAGTACTCTTGGCAGTTTAGTTTCATTAGATGTTTTGAAAATCCCTTTAAATTTCTGCTACAAGTTGAGGCAGGGGAAGGAGGGAACGTGATCTAGTTCAGATTATTTGCTTTAAAGCTTCCTGTTTCATTAGTGATATTCTCCTTTTTCTTTGATTCCTTGTGGCCTTTCTTGAACCTCACTAGATTTGGAGATTGGTTTTAATGGTAGACTTAATAGCTTATTATTTTCACTTTCTTGTTAGTTATTTGCCAAATATTCTGGAGCCAG